GGTCAAAATTATACATTTTTCTTTTATGCCAAAAATCATTAGGATATTAAGTAAAGATCATGTTCCATGAAGATATTTTGTAAATTTCCTTCCGTAAATTTTTGATTAGTAATATGCATTGCTAAGGACTTCATTTGGACAACCTTAGAGGCAATTTTCTCAATATTTAGATTTTTTGTACCCTCAGATTCCAGATTTTTAAATAGTTGTATCTCGGCCAAATATTGGCCTGTCCTAACATACCATACATCAATGGAAAGCTTATTTATTATTGTATAAATCCCAGTTTCAAACAAATTGACTCTTATGACTGGATTTGTGGTCCAGGCTCCCATATATCATTTCAGACATATTTTAACTACAAAAAATGATTTTGTAAAATAAAATATAATAAAATATAGCAATAAAAACTAATTCAAACTAAAATACTACTACATACTAAAGTAACACTGGTCCATGTTCTGGTCAAGCCTTTATTTAGTACAAAGATGTTTGCATGCTCCAGAACTATTGGAATATTTCTGTATATGGTAAATCACATTTAATCTGGTGTTCAGGTTATGTTTACGTCATTGGGAGCTGGAGACATATTGAAAAAAAACTGAAGCGGGTAGATGAGTATGAATATCCTCACCACCCCCACTTACTGCATTCATGCCTTGACCATAGAAAGGAACCACAGCGTGGGCCGCATCTCCCATAAGAACACACTTATCAAACAGATGATACGGGGAGCACTTCACCGAGACCATGGCCTGAGCCGGCAGCCGGAAGAAATCCTGTTTGAGAGCCTCACTGTGAAAACACAGACACATAGACACACTCAGTCAATAACGTACATTCATATATAACACTGTCACGTCTGTCTGTGGCACAATGACTCACTGCTTAATTATGTTAATTATGACATTTAATGTAGGGCAATCTCATTCAAAGCCTCTTGCCAATTTAAATAAAAACCTACATTTTTAGAATTACAATCTGAACAATTACACTGACTATTACTCATATAATATAAAATCCTGAAACTGAATATGCTATATTAAGGTCAATGTTAAATGTTTCAGCATTGATTCTTAACGTGTTTATATGTTGTTTCAAATTCTTTTGACTTTTTTCATTCTGTGGAACACAAAAGGAGAGTATTAGTCACCATTTACTTTGGATTGTATTTTATTGGGATACAATATAGCAAATGTGACTGGGACTTTTATTATACCTAATATCTCCTTTTTGTTTTAAAGAAGAAAGAAACACGGCTTGAGTTAAAAATTGTTACAGAATATTTTATTTCTGGGTGAAATATACTTTGCTGATAAGAATAAGTTAATACATCTAGTATTAAATTATTTAAAAATTAAAAATAAATAATAATATCATACCCTACCATTCCTACTCCAACCATAATTGAAAGAAATTAAATTCAGCAAGGATGTATTACGTTCATCAAAAATAATGGCATTTATAATGTTACAAAATATAAGCAGCACAACTGTTTTCAACATTGATAACTGGGGTATATTTGTAGCAATAGCCAACAATACATTGTACGGGTCAAAATTATACATTTTTCTTTTATGCCAAAAATCATTAGGATATTAAGTAAAGATCATGTTCCATGAAGATATTTTGTAAATTTCCTTCCGTAAATTTTTGATTAGTAATATGCATTGCTAAGGACTTCATTTGGACAACCTTAGAGGCAATTTTCTCAATATTTAGATTTTTTGTACCCTCAGATTCCAGATTTTTAAATAGTTGTATCTCGGCCAAATATTGGCCTGTCCTAACATACCATACATCAATGGAAAGCTTATTTATTATTGTATAAATCCCAGTTTCAAACAAATTGACTCTTATGACTGGATTTGTGGTCCAGGCTCCCATATATCATTTCAGACATATTTTAACTACAAAAAATGATTTTGAATCATTTTAAAATAGCAATAAAATATAGCAATAAAAACTCATTCAAACTAAAATACTACTACATACTAAAGTAACACTGGTCCATGTTCTGGTCAAGCCTTTATTTAGTACAAAGATGTTTGCATGCTCCAGAACTATTGGAATATTTCTGTATATGGTAAATCACATTTAATCTGGTGTTCAGGTTATGTTTACGTCATTGGGAGCTGGAGACATATTGAAAAAAAACTGAAGCGGGTAGATGAGTATGAATATCCTCACCACCCCCACTTACTGCATTCATGCCTTGACCATAGAAAGGAACCACAGCGTGGGCCGCATCTCCCATAAGAACACACTTATCAAACAGATGATACGGGGAGCACTTCACCGAGACCATGGCCTGAGCCGGCAGCCGGAAGAAATCCTGTTTGAGAGCCTCACTGTGAAAACACAGACACATAGACACACTCAGTCAATAACGTACATTCATATATAACACTGTCACGTCTGTCTGTGGCACAATGACTCACTGCTTAATTATGTTAATTATGACATTTAATGTAGGGCAATCTCATTCAAAGCCTCTTGCCAATTTAAATAAAAACCTACATTTTTAGAATTACAATCTGAACAATTACACTGACTATTACTCATATAATATAAAATCCTGAAACTGAATATGCTATATTAAGGTCAATGTTAAATGTTTCAGCATTGATTCTTAACGTGTTTATATGTTGTTTCAAATTCTTTTGACTTTTTTCATTCTGTGGAACACAAAAGGAGAGTATTAGTCACCATTTACTTTGGATTGTATTTTATTGGGATACAATATAGCAAATGTGACTGGGACTTTTATTATACCTAATATCTCCTTTTTGTTTTAAAGAAGAAAGAAACACGGCTTGAGTTAAAAATTGTTACAGAATATTTTATTTCTGGGTGAAATATACTTTGCTGATAAGAATAAGTTAATACATCTAGTATTAAATTATTTAAAAATTTAAAATAAATAATAATATCATACCCTACCATTCCTACTCCAACCATAATTGAAAGAAATTAAATTCAGCAAGGATGTATTACGTTCATCAAATATAATGGCATTTATAATGTTACAAAATATAAGCAGCACAACTGTTTTCAACATTGATAATAATAAGAAATTCTTCTTGAGCAGCAAATCAGCATATTAGAATGATTTCTGAAGGATCAAGTGACACTGAAGACTAGAGTAATGATGCTGAAAAATCAGCTTTGCATCACAGGAATAAATTACATTTTAAAATATAATCAAATAGAAAAATGTTATTTTGAGTCATAAAAATAAATTCACAATATTACAGTTTCTACTGTATTTTTAATCAAATAGATTTTGCCTTTGTTGAGCATAAGAGATTTTTTATCAAACTTTTGAATGGCAGTGTACAAATTTAAATGTGTAAATTTGCAAAATCACATATTTCTGTTCTCATATATGTGCACGTAGACCCTTGAATCATTTTTACAACCAAATGTAAATTGAGCAAAATGAGAACATCTTCAGTCGATTCTCGAATGCTGCACTGCACATTGAACAGGTCTGTGAGGTTTGAAATCACTCAGTGTCCTCACCCCATCATCCCAATACTGTATCTCCTCATCACCTGCAGCATTCATATTAAAAAACCCGCCCGCTGGGCTGTGTGTCTATTAGACTGCAATTTCATACCTCACTAAGATGCACTTCAGACCTGAGAGAAGCATGAAGCAGAAAGAGTGATAAGAGACTGAAAGAGAGAGAACAAGCTGTACTCACACTCCTATTAGAGGTACAGAGTCAGGAAAGTATTTCTGGAAGAAACGGATGACCTCGTCACCGGAGCGGATCTTCTCAAATTCTTCAAAGGGCATGAAGAGTGTGCATGTGAACGTCCTGTCCTTAAGAAACCAAAATCAAAAGCAACATGATTTTCTGCCAGGAAAACCACATTATACATAATACCGGCCCCTAATTGTAATAAAAAATAACAAACTAATAAATGGTTAATCACAAAAAAGAGTGAATAAAATAATAATAATATAATAGCAAAAACTAATAGCTAATCACAAAATAAATAAATAATAAAATATCATTGAATATCATCATCATAATAATAATAAACTGATGAATGGTTAATCATAAAGTAATTTTAATAAATAAAATAATTTTATAATACATTATAAAATGTTCTTTAATGTTTAATAATAATAATGATGATGATAAAACTAATGAATGGATAATCACAAAATAATGATAATAATAAATACTACTACTACTAATGATAATGATAATAATAATAATAAAAACTAGATAACAGGTGATTACAAAAACTTAAAATATTCTTTACAATTGTATAATCATAGTAATAATAATGAAAACACTAGGTAATAGATAATAACAAATAATTTTATAATACATTATAAAATGTTCTTTAATGTTTAATAATAATAATGATGATGATAAAACTAATGAATGGATAATCACAAAATAATGATAATAATAAATACTTCTACTACTAATGACAATAATAATAATAAAAACTAGATAACAGATGATTACAAAAACTTAAAATATTCTTTACAATTGTATAATCATAGTAATAATAATGAAAACACTAGGTAATAGATAATCACAAAAAAAAGTTAATAAACCGTAAAATAATAAAATATGTGACCCTGGACCACAAAACCAATTTTTCGAAATTGAGCTGAATAAATAAGCTTTCCATTGATGTATGGTTTGTTAGGACAGGACAATATTTGGCCGAGATAAAGCTATTTGAAAATCTGGAATCTGAGGGTGCAAAAAAAATTTGTAATAATAAATACATTTTGTAAATAAATATTGAGAAAATCGCCTTTAAAGTTGTCCAAACGAAGTTCTTAGCAATGCATATTACCAATCAAAAATTAAGTTTTGATATATTTATAGTAGGAAATGTACAAAATATCTTCATGGAACATAATCTTTACTTAATATCCTAATGATTTTTGGCATAAAAGAAAAATTGATAATTTTGACCCATACAATGTATTTTTGGCTATTGCTACAAATATACCTGTGCTACTTATGACTGGTTTTGTGCTCCAGGGTCCCATAGTCCATAGTTTTATTTAAAAAAAATGTATTTAAAATTATTTTAAAAAAATAATAATGTAATTAAAAATAACAATATATCAGTAAAACACAAAGAAAATTATTACATGACCTTACCAAGTTGGGCAGGGCAATCATCATGAAAGTGTTCCTGGGCCAAATGTGCAAGTAATTGGGCTCCATTGCAAACTTAGAGGACACAGAGAGAATGAGATGTGAGCAGACAAAATGATATGGGCAGATATGTACTGAAGACTGCCAGATAACATTGCTGTGACACTTACATCTCCGTCTTTAGGAGGCATGGTGAGCTCCATGTACCCGTGGGGAATGTACGTCTGGCTGTAATTGAAACGACTTTGCCGTAGGTACTGCTTCCTGATGGCAGAGAAAGCTCCATCACAGCCTACGATCAGATCAGCCTGGATCTCCTTCTTCTGGCCATCAGGTCTGTTCAGAGACAAAAATCTCTACTGAAATATAATCTAATTCACACTGAATATACAAATACTCAAGTAAATTTACAAACTCTCTTGGGCAGCCAAACCAGATCTCAGTGATTGAATTTACATGTAAAAAAAAAACTTTGTGCGCAACGAAAAGAAATATGGGTTTGGAATGACAATAAGGTGAGTAAATAATATTGTTGATATTGTTTTTTTTATTAGTTTTTTAATGTCTGTATAGTTTTTATTAATTTTTATTTTTATTAGTTTTTTTATATTTATATTTATTTATATATTTATAATTTTTATATTTATTAGTTTTAGTTTATTTCATTTGATCTATTTAAGTACTTAAAGTTAAACTAAACATAAATGAGAAATTCAAGTAACGAAACAGTTATTTTACGGTTTTAGTTTTAGTTAACGACGTATATAACGACAGAATCTGTGACTATTACTTTACATGGCACCCCAAGGTATTTTAAACAAAATCATGGAATTATTCACTCCCCAAAATGTATGGCCAAAATGGAGACAGAAAGACAGAAAGTGGTTGCTGTTTACCCAAAGAAGGTCATTGTTCCCGATTTTGGACTCCAGTCCTGCAGCTTGTGATTAAAGTTCAGTGTAGTGTTTGGATATGCGTCTGCCGCTGCAAGAAAAAAATTCAATTCTGTATGTTTATTCAGTAAAAGGAATAAGATTCAAACAGGATTAAATGAACAAAGACTTTGACCGCATCCCAATTCACATAATTACTGTACCGTGTTACTTACTCGGTAATATGTAATTGAAATGTGTTTCTTGTTACTAAACTCAATACTAACTTTTAGTCATCATGAAATGTGACCCTGGACCACAAAACCAGTCATAAGGGTCAATTTCTCAAAATTGAGATGTATACATCATCTGAAAGCTGAATAAATGTTGATGTATGGTTTGTTAGGACAGGACAATATTTGGCCGAGATACAACTATTTGAAAATCTGGAATCTGAGGGTGCAAAAAATCTAAATATTGAGAAAATCACCTTTAAAGTTGTCCAAATGAAGTTCTTAGCAATGCATATTACTAATCAAAAATGAAGTTTTGATATATTTACGGTAGGAAATTTACAAAATATCTTCATGGAACATGATCTTTACTTAATATCCTAATGATTTTTGGCATAAAAGAAAATCTATAATTTGGCCCCATACAATGTATTTTTGGCTATTGCTACAAATATACCCCAGCGACTCAAAGACTGCTTTTTTGCTCCAGGGTCACAAATGGCGTTCACAAGTTTGCAACCTGCCATTCAGAAGTGTGGGAGTTAAGTTTTTCTAAAGGAAATTAATACTTTTAAGGCCCGTTCACATCAAGAATGATAACTATAAAGATAACAATAATGATATAGTTCTAAAAATTGTTCTCAATATTAAAGAATAGCAGAGTCCACACCCCAACTATGACGATAAAGGCACAGAGAAACAATATCGTTGGAATCACTTTCAAAACAATTTTTCTCCAGCTGATGAATGATACAAAATTGACAGCCAATCAAAACCAATCCTGCTGTAACGAGCTCGAGAATTTAAAGCGGCAGACGAGTGTGCGCTTAAACAGACAATATCGTCCACGGACGCTAATATCGTTATCTTTATAGTTATCGTTCTTTTTGTGAAAGGGCCTTTATTCAGCAAGGAGACACTGAATTAATCAAAAGTGAAAGCAAAGACAAAAAAATGTACATTACGAATAAATGCTGTTCTTTTGAACTTAATATTCATCAAGGAACCCAGAAAAAAAAGATGTATCATGGTTTCCACTGAAATATTAAGCAGCACAACTGCTTTCAGCTTTGCCATCACAGGAATAAATAACATTTTAAAATATATTCAAACAGAAAACAATAATTTTTAATTGTAATAATATTTCACAATATTACCGTTTTTACTGTAGATCAAATAAATGTGGCCAAAAAACGGTAGTGTATTTCAAATTTAAACTGGATATTCAAAAAAGGGACTTGATTTTATCCATTAGTGATTGATTAGATCCCAAAAAGTGGGCAAATGAAGAGAGGACAAAAGATATTTGAGACCATTTGGGATCGATATGCAAATAGGGACGTAGGGTTTTATCTTCAAAAGAACCCAAGTAGTCATTTTTAAAAAATGAAGGTACATAAGGTACCATATGTAACGTATAAAGTGGCACATTAAGTGTTTCCAATCATTTTTGAAATGACGTTGGTTAAATGAACTGTTACCTGTTAGCAGCTCCTTGTTGAGGTTAGCTCTGTCCACAGAGAGGATGTACTACAACAGAAAGAACAGCCATATTTAGGGAACATCCAGGTCAGAGTCAGTCAGCCGGGAGAATGACAACTTTAATCTCTATTATGCATGTCCCGGATTATCTGGGATATTTTAAGTCTGAAATGATGGATTTATGACAGCCATGGAGTTCAGTCACCTGAAAGGCACTATAATCTACAGCTTCGATGTCACAACTGTTTAAAAGCACCTTGACACACATTGTTTGCCGCAATGAGTGTGTTTTGTGAGGGGATTACATAGTAGTAGCAATAAGCTAATGGTTTAAAAGCAGTTCTGTTTCAGTCCATCTGCTGATTTCCAGTTAACATAATCCCCACAAACCTCACGAGGAACACACAAACTGGGCCAGAGAAACCTGAGCTTTTCATCTCAGCTGTTTTCAAAGCATATTTAGGGCTGTTTTGTCGCAAAGCCGTTTCCAGGCTGTGATATACTTCTGAGTGAAACAGGATATTTAGTTGTGTTAATCAGTGGTTCTCAACTGGTTCTGCTTCATGACCAATATTTAAAAAAAAAAAAAATGTGAATAATAAAATGAGATATACAGGCTCAAAATATGCACATGTATTAATATGCAAAATTATTTAAATGATATACCTCCTACTTTTTATTAGTTTCTTTGTTCATAAATTTCAATGATATTATGATGACCTACACAGGCCCAAAAATGCAAATGTATAAATATGTAAAATGATACAAATTCTATATTGCTTTTTTTAATTCGTTTTTTTTTTGTTTATAAATTTTAATGATAGCTATTATGATGACCAACACAGACCTAAAAATGCAAATGTATTAATATGCAAAATTATTTAAATGATATACCTATTAGTTTTTGTTCATAAATTTCAATAATATTCTGATGATATGCAAGCTCAAAAAAAAAGTATTAATATGAAAAATAATTCAAATTATATACCACTCACTATTCTGTTCTTTTTTTCATAAATTTCAATGATATTCTAATGACCTATACAGACCCTAAAATATACTTTTATTAATATGTAAAATTATACAAATGCTATGCCTGTAACTTTTTTAATTCATTTTTTATTAATAATAATAATAATTATTATTATTATTATTATTTTGTTCATAATTCAGATTTCTGTCAAACTACTGTGGCCTTATTTATTCCACATTTATAATAATTAGACTTGTGTAGATGTGTCAGGAAACCAAATGTGCTGATTTCTCATAAAAAGAAATTAGGACTTTTGGCTATGCCAAAGTCCTAATTGTCACTATTATGTGCATTATGATTGTAATGATTAACAAACTAGTTTGAAGGGAGATGGTTGTATTGACTCTGCTGGGGTCACTGCTCACGTATCAGCAAACAGACTCCAAGCATGAATGCATGTCTGATGTAAATGTTCTCAACTAGTGGGTTAATAACCCTGTAACTGTGTAACAACTTTACTGCAAACTGTCATGTGACTGTGCATTTCTGAACTGCTGAGTTAAGGATCCCAAGGATAACAATTTGTAGTTCTATATTTGTGTGAATATGAATGTGTAAATCTGAAAATAGTTACTGTTACCTGTCCCTTTTTGCCGTAGGGTATTGGAGAGCGTTTTCCATTCAGATTATGGATCATACGGGCATGCATTGGAATGCCTTTAGAGACTATCTACAAAAAAAAAACACATGACAATATATATGTACATACTATGTAGTCTCATTGATGTTATACACTACCGTTCAAAAGTTTGGGCTCAGTAATGTTCTCTTATGCTCACTGAGGATGCATTTATTTGATTAAAAAAAATACAGTAAAAACAGCAATACTTTGAAATAATATTAGATTTTTCTTTTGTAATATATGAATTAATGTAATTTATTCCTGTGATGCAAAGCTGTACTTTCAGCATCATTCCTCCAGTCTTCAGTGTCACATGATCCTTCAGAAATCATTCTAACATGCTGAAATGCTGCTCAATAACCATTTTTTTAAGGATACTTTTATGAATAGATAGTTCAAAAGAACAGCATTTATTTGAAGTAGAAATTTTGTAAAGGTCTTTACTGTTACTTCTAATTAATTCAACACATATTTGCTGAATAAAAGATACAAATAAAATAATATTATATATATAACAGTATATATTATACAAGTCATTGAAGCACAATACTTGGAACTAAAGCCAGAGAGCAATGAAAAAAATGGTAAAAATGTAGTTGAAGCCCCTTGCCAAAACTTAACCCTAAAATCTAATTTGGGAATGATCTGGGTTGATGGGAATATTGTTGCAGGACCAACAAAGGATGTTGATCCAGGCAGATGTCCTATTTGGGTAAATCATGTAACATATTTTAACTACAAGAGCTCACAACAGCTCCATCCATTGACCTTATGCTTCTAAAGCTTCAGACTGTCTGTCACACTCTGTCAGATAGGAAAATCATGTTAACCCAGGGTTGAGTTCATACAGTATTCCTGATCTGGCATTCCTGGCTCTGTCAAGCTGAAAAATCACACAGTGTAAAATAACCAAATCACAGAGACACAGGACTCTGTGTGCTAACCATATACAATTAAATACTTTATATAAAGACTGAAAGTTTGACTGTGTATGTATTGAGTGTAAGTAGCATTTGACCTAGTTTCACATGGTCAGACTTCCTCATAGTACTTTCAACACTTCCCTCTGTGGAAAAGCCTGAGACTAGTTCAGCCAGCACAGAATTCATGAGTTGTTACAGTAAATACTGTACTACTGGTTGCCAAGTTGTTTATTAAGAAGCAACTGCATGCTAATATTGCTCCTAAAAGTGTGAATCGTGATCGAAATATGCAAAATAATAAACCCAGCTCCAGGGGGATTGTCTCTTTAATAAGTGTACTATACTGTAAGCCGCTGTATGATCAAAGCATCTGCTAATGGCTTCTTACTACTTATTCAAAACATTAAGTAATAATGCTATGCGAAAATTTTGAATATGATGGCTTTAACAACTATAAACAGTTCTTTTATAAAGAGAACACTAATGTATGTAAAATCAGAATAAATGCATCCTACAAGCACTTAACTCCCGCAAGAAACACAGGTAAATGACTAAACCCACCTTATCCTCCATTCCCACATGTTTCAAGGCCTGGCGCCCCCTATGTGACAGGGCCAAGTTGATGCTTCGACCTTTCACGACTTTTGCTTGACGAATATCTAACAGAAACAAAGTTTACACACAGAGGTTAGGAATGCATTTGAAGTTAGGAAGACATTTGAAACCCTATATCTGTACATTATGAGAATGTGGTGGTCTATAATTGTCTAAAATCCTTCCACAATATTATAAGTGAGCTTAAAGATTTTGTAGTGTGCGGTACACTCTTAAAAATAAAGGTGCTTCAAAAGGTTCTTCAAGCGATGCCATAGAAGAACCATTTTTGGTTCCACAAAGAACCATTCAGTCAAAGGTTCTTTAAAGAACCATCTCTTTCTTACCTTTTTGTAATCTGAAGAACCTTCTTTCGCCACAAAGAACCTTTTGTGAAACAGAAAGGTTCTTCAGATGTTAAAGGTTCTTTCTGGAACCATATAGACAAAAAGGTTCTTCTATGGCATCGTGAAGCACCTTTATTTTTAAGAGTGTATGGATAATAAAAAGTGGAGCGATATAACTGAGATGCAGAACTTAAATAGTACAAGCCTTAAAATAAAGTCTTGATTAATGCATGTGTGAGAGATAGCTCATGCTTTCACCTTCTCGAGATTCATAGACTGCAACGTCAAATCCTCTTTTGGCAAGGAAGCAGGCGTTCAGCGATCCAACCTAAATTGGCAGGGTTAGAATAAGAAATAGATTATTTATGACAAAATTATTTCATGTTTTTGAATATGTACCATGTTAGTGTACATTGAAATATATTGGAATTCAATGTAAATACTATCACGGTAGGCTATATGAAAATGGCAGTCATTTACCATAATATGTTACTAACTGTACTATGATTCAGTCACGGTATATTTTTATATAAGAGTGTTAAAACAGGGTTTTAGAGCATCTGAATAGCTTGCAATGACCTAATTCTTCCTTATAAACTTGTACTTAACAAAGCATATTAAGCAAAGAGGAATTAAAGAGATAACGTAGAACTGAAGACTTTTGGAGGATTCTACTTTAATCGCTTTATTTAAAATAGCTATATAAAAGGGTACTGCTGAACTTTCTCAGGCCAGGGCTTTACATAGACACTGGCTGACCATCACAGGTCTACACAAACAATATATTATTTACAGACAATATTCTTATGCTTTGTGCCAAGTGCAGTATTATTGGTCATATTTTATCTTATATATAATCTTTTTATGTCACTCCCTTAAGCATGAGATCAGAAGATCAAACCATTAAAGAAGGAAACATTTACCTTAAAGTCGGTTTATGCAACTATAAACTCATAAAGACACTTAATGAAAACATAAACACACCCATGACTCGTTCATATTATATTCTGGATTTGATCAAAGCCATTAACTGTCTAACAGAACGAATATACATTTAATTTAATGTAATTGTCAGATCACACTCGCATAAATAACTGTAAAGTGCATAGATTCAAATTCAATAAAGTCCGATTTATATTTCACTCATCATTCGTCACCACATCTGTAGGCTAATAGAACATTTACAGAATTTCATAACCACTTCGTGAATCATTAACGTTGATTCATCCTGCTGCAAGTTATAGTAGAATTATATCAGCTCTGTGTTACTGTGATTAACAAAGGTTGCATTTTAAAATAATGTTCCATTTGTTTGTTTTTTATAGGAAACCTTCTCTATAACCAGAGAAACATAACAGACCCGAGTCAGACAGACATACAACTAATACAACATGTCTTTCATTTAGCAGTCATTTTCTGTGATTATTCAACTATTTGAATGACTTGATAGATAGAGACGGTAGATAGAGATCGAGAGAATTCTAAGATATGTAATCAAGTCATAAAGATCAAGTGATTCTCACCAAACCGCCTCCCACCACCGCGATCACTTTCCTCTTACTGCTGCTGGATTCATGTGTGTGTGTGGAAACAGTGTCCATGCTTAACAATCCTGAAGTGCTCAGAGTTAAAGGGGTCTGCTGGAATCGGTGCGTGAATGAGTTTCTACGAGCTTTAATGTAGGGTTTTGTGGTTATGAAGGAGGAGCAACACAAAGTCAAACATCGACAAGCCGGATCAACAGGTCACCGTTTATTATCAGACCTTCTATCAGTAAGTCAGGCATTCAGTGTGATCAGATCTGTAGCCTGATGAATGTGATCATCAAACCCAACCGAACACACGCAGTTTACATTAGTAGAGGATGCTTTCATTATATTTCATTATAGTTGGTAACACCCCAAACAACAATCGTAACTTTGGAAAACACCGAGTTTACTCAGCACATATCAAGGATAGAGTAATTTGAAAAATGCTGGCACCGGCAGATGTAACACACACAAGCGCAGATGTGGTGTTTACAACTTACCTTAATTCGCCTCGGTAAAAACGGATAAACTTTGTTTTTAATAACCTCCTCCTTTTTTCTCTAATAGATGCCTGCTGTATGTATGCTGCAGCTCCTCAAACATTGAACAAAATAAAACAAGTAAAACCTTTTTTTTTTTTTTAATTGCTTTCCAAATTTAGAAATAATTCTCCTTCATTTAATTAGTGTGAGAGCTCAACGATGCTCTAAATGTGTTGGCATAGCAACGTGATACTTCCGGCTTCCTTTTCCTTTTCCGAATCCTCTGGAGGTCGAACAAAATTGCTAAGTTGGCAACACCGGTGTGTGTATGATTCATATTCTTAGCAATTGTAATATCACCAAGTGATCAAAATGACTTATTGGTGCGACGTCAGGACAACACTGACGCATCCGCAACGTGACTACGTCAATGTTAAGATGTGTCAGTCTTTTTAATCTGTCACGGCTATTTTAGATTCATTCTGTGACCATCCTGATTTGGCTGTGTAAATACTCAGAATCCGTAATAATGAATTCGGGACTTTACTGCACAAAAATCTGCCGTGACCCGGATTCAAACCGGCGTTGCTGCGGCCTCAACGCAGAGTACTAACCACTATACGATCACGGCGTGCCACCTACAGGACGAGCGCGAGGCGGAGCATTCACAGGCATGCTCATCAACGCTTTAATGGGTTATTCTGATGAACAGCTGCTGTAACCACTGATTCTCATGCTGTAGACAAGAAATCACAAATTCAGCCCTGATTCTTCATTCTGGCTCTGCAAATCTCCCAAACAGCTGACATGACCTCTGCGACGTTTCTGTGCTTATTTGTCATGATGAAATTGTTGTAGAGAGTATTAAAGACTGTTTAAGAGCAAATCAAGCTCCCAGCTCCTTACTGCATCTTTAGATCTTGCAGAACATTTTGTATTATTGTTTGTCATATAGCCTACTTGAAAACAAAACATGAAAAATAACAAGCCGATGAAATTAATATTCAGTTACATTTGTCTGTCAGGGTTAGTGATTCAATAACCACCCTTTTGTACACTTATTTTTATTCTTATATGATTATTTTGCTTTTTATATATATTTAAAGATTTTTTTTTTTGATATTATAATATTTGTATATTATTACCCCTGGCACTTTTTATTTTATTTGATCGTTTATAATAACTTGTTCTTTTTTTTCCCTGCTATCTTATTTTTGTATGCATCATTGTGTAATGCTGTACAGTATAATCTGTACTGAACAAAATGTGTAACGTTATTGTTAGTGAATTGAAACCAAAGTTCAGTTTCTGTGCGCTTTCTCTAACGTCGTACATTTTCCAGATGCACCAAAATAACATAAATGGAAACCTGGAAGCTATCTTTAACTGATCTTTTGTTTTAAGAGAAGTAAACTGCAGTTTTGTATAGTAGTGATGTGTTCTTGTTCTTGTCTGAGGTCGTTATGACAGTACACTCTAAAAAATGCTGGGTTGTTTCAACCCAACTCTGGGTCAAATATGGACTAACCCAACTTTTGGGTTAAAAATGTAATGTAAAAATGTAACCCAACAGTTGGGTTAGTCCATATTTGATCCAAAGTTGGGTTGAAACAACCCAGCATTTTTTTTAGAGTGTAACACACTCAAAGTTGTTGTTGTCTAGTTGACATTAAATGTCAAGCAATGACAGTTCAGTCAGAAAGAGCTGCAGCATGACATGCTTCTCAAACCATTTTAGAATTGAAGCGATCTGTGATTAAAAATTATGATAAACAAAAGAAACTGTGACCAGTTACAGAACAACACACTTTCCCTTTTACATATTATACGTTTAACCTATAATGTTTGCATCATGTCTACCCTATCACAAAATAATTAATCAATAAGGGATTAGATCAGTAAGAGTTTTAAGATTATGTCAGTAGCAAATCATAATCAGAGAGAGAGAGAGAGAGAGAGATGGACAGCTGGACGCTTAAATCAGGGGTCTCTTTAAATACTCGATAACACTTTACTTGAAGGGGTGTGCATAAGACTGACATGACACCTTCATAATCATGACATGACACGTGTCATGAATATGAAGGAGGTTTTATGCATGTTTATGACAACTGTCATTAAGTGTCATTCGCTCAGTTTAATGCAAATATGACATTATTTGACCTAACCCTACCCCTACCCTTACCCCTAACCATAGCCCATAACAAAGACATCTCAAACAATGTCATCTTTGCATTAAAAATGACATAACTGAGCGAATGACACTTAATGACAGTTGTCATAAACATGCATAAAACCTCCTTCATATTCATGACATGTATCATGTCATGATTATGAAGGTGTCATGTCAGTCTTATGCACACCCCTTCAAGTAAAGTGTAACCAAATACTCTAATTACTACTAAACCTGGATGTGGGCGTGGCCTGTTTCGTAACGTCAAGCGTCGGCAAGGCGTGACTAAGCAATTCCAACCACTTCAGCGAAACAAATGGGTATTTCAAACATTTTTGATAACAATATATGTTCCACGTGAGTGTATACATATATGTAATGGTTAATATCTCATATTACATGTAAATTAATCAACAAGCGGCCCGCGGCTGATCCGAGTTTGATTGGTTTTGTCTGCAGAAATCATGGCGTCCTGACGGCTTCGGCAGAGTTTTGTTATCCAGTACTGAAGTATGCAGAAATGTGCTAGCCGGTGGGCCCTTACAGCGAGTTTTCTTCCGCTTTTATGATATTAACCACTGTTTTCATTCGAGCTATTAGGTAAGTGTCAAATATGTGTTTTGTTTGTTGTGTTCGTTCAGCGGCGGCCCGATTCGCTGGCGATAGCATTAGCTCATGACACAGTATTTCATAATGTTCCAACATATTTTTTTGTTTAAATTCTGAAAGTGTTTGAGTCCGTTCAATTTCTCGTTTGTTTTTAATGTAACTCAACAGTAAGTCAATTTAAAACTTAAAGGCCCACGAAAAACGCTGAAAGACGGCTGGACTGTTTACATTTAAGTTCGACTTAAACTGAACATACGCATAACTAAATCACTTAAACTAAAGTAACGTGACACAATCTACAACCTAATCTCAATTTACTCTTAAACTAATCGGTCTAAATGTATACTTCAACCAAGACAATTTCGCTTAAACTGAGACTAAACATGCACTTGAACTAAACCACTAATGCAGCTACATTAGTGGTTTAGTTCAAGTGCAAGTTTAGTCTCAACTGAACTTAAGTTTCAAGTAAGCTAATAGACTAAACGTACACTTAGAGTACAGTTAGGCTAAGGTAATGCTTTCAAACTAAATCTAGCACTTCAACTAATTTAACGGACTGAGCCTAATTTTAATTAAAGTGTAACATTTTAAACTAAATGACGTCTTAATTCACATTCTGATCTAGATGGTTTCTGTATGTCTGACTGATTGTGAAATTTGCTTGACATGTGGAGTTTGTCTGCCCATTGAAATTCCTCCCAGCAGGAAGTCATTCATTAAGAGTTTGTTTGATAATGCCTGGCCTAGGGCTGGACGATATGGGCAAAATTTATATCACAATATATTTCTTAATTTCGGTCGATACAATATAATTCCGATATCGATATGAACACTATTTAAAAAAGCCTTGTAAAAACTGCCAAGAATGCCCACAACAGATGTCTGTGCATACAAACTTATGAAAAATGAATTTGCCAAGTCTGACACCTCATATAAACTAGGGATGCACCGATATGAAAATTTTGGCCGATACCGATAACCGATTATTCTTTATTTTTGAAAGCCGATAACCGATATGTTGGCCGATAAATCTATATCCAAATTGTTATATACTTTTTGAGAGCCTGATTACAAAAAAGGTCTCATCATTAAAAGCCACATCCCAAACACTTCAACATAAGCAGCCTAGTTTGAACGGTGTACGTTTTAAAAATATTTTTACTCTCCCATTACCAAATTTAGTCATAAAAAAGTCTTACAAATAAATAAAATTATGCATAAATAATGCAAACAAGTCACTGGACATCATTACACGTGTAAAGAATCAAAATGAATGCGCCATAGATCAATAAAACGGAATAGCCTCTGCACGGACAATAATTAAATGATTTTAATTACTAAACCATATTGTTGATGAAAATAATAAGAGAAAAATACAAGTGGTTGTTGTTATTAATAATGTATCAATGATTTTGAAAAAGTAACAAATTAATACCACTGTTTTAAATAGCAGCCGTTGAGCTGCGCGTGCTGAAGCTGAAGAGCTGAATGAACACGGTAAACTGAAGCGTTTTGCTGGCAGCTTATTTAACTCAAGGAAATGCATCCTGAGATTAATATTAATACAACATAAACATAATATTACAATTTATATATGTTCAAAATGATGCAGTTATTGCGTGCTATAGTCAGAATGTGTGATCCTGTTGTGGATGCGCTCTTCCCATAACAACGCGCTGAAACACGGCAACTAAACCCAAAGAATTCACAACGTTTTATTATGATAATGTTCTCATTAGAATGTTATATACACGACATTCCCAATCATAGTTATTAATGTTGTGCACTGCTGTTTGAGCTGCGTGTGCTGAGCTAAAGATGATCACTGGTAAACTGAAGCGCTCTTTTAACTTAACCAATCGCATTCTATATGAGATAAATCAGATATACATCAAATAAACACAATATTACAATGTACAATTGCACAAAAGGCTGCAAACGAACAGCGCGCATCTGAAGTGTCTCTGAAGGAAATAATGCATTATTTATCGGCTTTAAGATATCGGCCAAATTTTCTTATCAGGCCGATACCGATAACAGAAAAAATGAGCCGATATGGGCCGATACCGATATGGTGGCCGATATATCGTGCATCCCTAATATAAACCCATATAATACTTTAGAAAAAAAACCAGCACAAATAAATTAATGTTCACCTTTTATTTGTATTTAGCTTTCATACAAACAAGAAATGTGAAATCACTGTCAAATAAACATCTCAGACTCACCTTATTAATTATTAATATCTTCTAACATACCAGTCAAAAGTTTTTGAACAGTAAGATTTTTATTGTTTTTAAAGAATTCTCTTCTGCTCACCAAGCCTGCATTCATTTGATCCAAAATACAGTAAAAACAGTAAAATTTTGAAATAATTTTACTATTTCAAATATCTTTTCTATTTGGAAATATTTTAAAATGTAATTTATTCCTGTGATTTCAAAGCTATATTTTTTAGCAGCATTACTCCAGTCTTCAGTGTCACATAATCCTTCAGAAATCATTCTAATATGCTGATTTGCTGCTCAAAAATAATTTATTATTATGTTGAAAACAGCCGAGTAGAATTTTTTTCAGGTTTCTTTGATGGATAGAAAGTTCAGAAGAACAGCATTTATCTGAAATAGAAATCTTTTGTAACATTATAAATGTCTTAAAATTGAAAGCATCCTTGCTAAATAAAATTATTAATTTCTATAATTTATTTCCCGAAAGAAAGAAATCATACTGACTCCAAGCTTTTGAATGGTATAATGTTACAAAAGCTTTTTATTTCAGATAAATGCTGATCTTTGGATCTTTCTGTTCATCAAAGAATCCTGAAAAAAAACTCAACTGTATATTAATAATCAGCAAATCAGCATATTAGAATGATTTCTGAAGGATCATGTGACACTGAAGACTGGAGTAATGACTGCTTAAAATTTAGCTTTGATCACAGGAATAAATTACATTTTACAAAATATTCAAATAGAAAATATTTCAAAATTTTACTGTTTTTGCTGTACTTTGGATCAAATAAATGCAGACTTGGTGAGCAGAAGAGAATTCTTAAAAAAAACATAAATCTTACAGTTCAAAAACCTTTGACTGTAATGTAGGGTGGCTGATTATTGTTATAGATTGAAACAAATGTGCTTCAGCCAGGATAAAGAATATGGAAAAGTGCTCGGAGTTGCTGCAGAAAAAAAAGAACAACAACAAAAACATGTTGCTGGAGACGGGCTTATTGAAAATGCAAACTGATTGTCTGCCAGCAGGAGGCGCTTTGAGAGCGGTAGAACTAGCAGTTTCTCCAGTAATGGCTGTAATCAAAGCAGCTCCGCTCATGAACGCTACTTTATCAGATAAAATGATAATGTCATCGAAACTTTTCTGAAGACAGTCGGTTCCCTTCAGAGATACATTCATATAAAACACCCGCGCCGCGTTTTGATTTGGAAACGTGCAGTGCTCATGTTTATTCAACGAAGTCAAACGCCACAAATAAATCAATGTATGGGAAACTGGTAATGTATATCGAAATATCGGAAATGTGTTTAAAACTCATATCACCGTTATTGAAAAGAATTATATCGCGATACATATTGATATTGAATTATTGTCCAGCCCTAGCCTGGCCTCTTAACTTTATCTTTTGTTTATCCAGACGTATTTCAACTCTGTCCATCAGAATGAGTGATCCGGCTGTAAAGAGGGTAGTGAGTGATATCAATCGCTCTCCAGAAGACAAACGGGAGTATCGAGGACTCGAGTTTACAAATGGGCTGAAAGCCGTTCTCATCAGTGACCCCACCACTGACAAATCATCAGCCGCACTGGATGTCCACATAGGTAAATGGAAAGAGTTTTCTTTATTGTTTGCTCCATTCTGCATATATCTCTCTACTTACTGCTTTCTGATCCCTTCTATTTTAATGCAGGTTATTTATTACTAACCTGAAGGACATCTTCATTATTGGCCATCAATAACTACGTTTTAACGGAATTGATTGGGTGGTCTCTGTCTCTCTCTGTAGCTTTCCACTTCACTAAAAGCAACTTTTAATAGTCCAGACCTTGTCGGCATGCCCTTGTCCTGGTTTTGTGTCTTTGTTGCAGAGAGAAACTCAAAGCCCACGAGAGTTTTGAATAATTTTGTTTCTGAACAGACCACTCTGTACAAGTCATTGAAGGCTTCCTTGTGTCACGTTGCATCTTTTCAGCCCTTTATTTAAGAAAAAAAAATTTACTTTAAACAATTAATTTGAATAATAGCTGGAGCACCACCCAGTGTGTCAGCACCAGTGTTGGGGAAAGTTACTTTTAAAAGTAATGCATTACAATATTGCGTTACTCCCTAAAAAAGTAACTAATTACGTTACTTAGTTACTTTTTATGGAAAGTAATGCGTTACGTTACTTTTGCGTTACTTTTTAAATATGGACAGGGCTTGCTTGTTTGTTTTTAAAATAAAAAAGTTATATTTTGGCAAATATAAAAGCCTTTTCACACCAAAAGTTAAATGAATAAGCCTCAGGATGAAGGGAAAGTAAATTTACGTCCGTACACTAGAATGCAGAAGAAGACATTTCAACACACTTCAGCAATAAACAAAGACACAAATGTTTGTCTCGAGTAATTTGTGCTTATTAGTACGGTTGAACTGGATCATCGAAGATCAGAAGCAAAGACATTGGTTAATAGAATGGGATTAAATACATAAAGGATATTTGTGTTGTTTAACATTTATTCTGAGTTGCATTATTTTTATTCATTTCGAGGAATACTGAATCTGTGTTTTTTTTTTGTGAGTGAGATGAATTAATGCATATTCATATTTATTTTAGAACTACAGTAACATCTTCTGATTTCTCTCAACATGGGGACAGGAGAGCTGTCAATCAATAAATTGGAAAAAAAAAGTAACTCCGATATTCTCTTGTAAATTAAAAAGTAATGCGTTACTTTACTAGTTACTTGAAAAAAGTAATCTGATTACGTAACTCACGTTACTTGTAATATATTACCCCCAACACTGGTCAGCACAGACTTATGGGGGGGCTTAAGTAATGCCCGAAATTGCATCTTTCAACAACCCAAACACTTGAGAAAGCAGGAGGTTAAGAAGAAGAAAAAGTCCATTGAATGAAATGTTGAAATGGTGTAAGTAGACATGTGGATTAGATATAAAAATGTCATTGTGTTTCTTTAATGCTCACTTATTACACTTTAAAAGAGCCTTTTGATAATACGACAAGAATCACATCTGAGTTCTTTCTTTCTTTTCTAAGGCTTTGTTCATGCTGAACACTATTCCAATTAGTTTTCAGATCTTAAAAGGACCAAAGGACCGGCTCAACAAACTGATTCGGTCATTTAAACAGTGACACAATGCTATTAGTGGCCCTTATTAATGAAAAACAAAAATAATTTGTTTATATCATTGATTATTTCAATGTAACAATGTTTTACAGGGGATTTGTGCAAATTTGTTCTGCTTGTGTAGCATGAATTAGTTTTTTGACTGAGTCGAAATACTGATTCTAATTAAAATTGTCCTATTGAATTGAGTAACTTGGTTTTGCAAGCATTTCCTCCAGGATCACTAGAAAGTTACAGGCAGGTGAATTTGATCAAGGTTGGAGCTAAACTCTGCAGGAAAGTGGGATTTGAGGGCTGGAGTTGAGAACCCTTGCTCCAAAGACTTGGGAGACCCATCTGTCTGACTAATATATTATGGTAGAGCTGGTTGTTTAAGTGTTCTAATGCCTTTAGTACTGTAGCAAACCGTGCAGACCTTTGTGTAACTAAGGATTTAAGCATGAGGATCTTGAATATGCCTGAATCTGTCGTCATCCAGTGGAGTCAGCTCGGTTTACAAGTTTGTCAAACTGTCAGTATTTTCTTGCGCTACTTAATCTCCTGCTTTTCTTCTCTTACTATCCTGCAGGTTCTTTGTCAGATCCCGAGAACATTTCAGGACTGGCCCACTTCTGTGAGCACATGCTGTTTCTGGGAACCGAGAAGTACCCCAAAGAGAACGAGTACAGCCAGTTTTTGAGTGAGCACGCCGGCAGCTCCAATGCCTTCACCAGTGGAGAGCACACCAATTACTACTTTGATGTATCCCATGAGCATCTACAAGGGGCTTTGGACAGGTAAATTAATCCAAAAAAAGAGCAATTGGTGAATTATTAAAGAGCCATCTGGAATGCTGGTCTGTTTTAGATGCTGAAGAGTGATGTGTGCACTGTTTGAACTTATGAAAAGGTGAACAGGGTTTAGACCTTCAGGTGTCACGATGCCTTTCGGTGTGGAGTTACATGTCCAGGAGGAATCGGGTTGCTGGGATATAGAGAGAAGAGTTTCCCCCTGAGCCCATCTGCTTCTGTGCCCCAGAACACCACCTGCTCATTGAAACATTTGAATGATTCATTATTAATCTCCAAAAACTGGGTCATGACTCAGAATTTTGCAAACATATCAGACTGGACACTTAAGAAAGCACTTAGTGAGTGTTTGACAGGTAGGAATGTGTAGGATGCATTTTGAGGGTGTTGAAAAAGCTGTGGGGTAATCGGACATCAGCGACCACTGGAAATCAATCGGACATAGCAAATTGGATTTCTTAAAGCACACCTGTACCCGCCTCTCTAAAATTCTCATTGGTCAGCAGATGAATATGTAAATGTGTTGTGTAGCAAAAGTGAATATTCCTAACCGTGGTTTGCAATGCAGAATGTCACTTTTGCAAACTGCATTGCATGTTTTGCAATACATAATCCTTGTTGAAGTCATTGGATTCATTTGAGCTTTGATGCATCTTAAACTCTAGTTTGTTGGCGCACTTAAGCTTGCCATTTGTTTAATGTCAAATTATAGTGGGATTATGGCAACTCATAAAGGCTGTGAAAGGGTGTATTTTATTTTAAATAAATATTTTGACCCTATTCCATATTTTAGGTATTTTGTCCCTTGCATATTTATCGTAAACCGTGCAGACCACCATGTTACTTGCAGCAGTGTTACACTCGATGTGTACATTTAATTTGCATGGCAGTTGCTCGTGTCAATTTGGATGTTTGTAATTTCTGATTTTATGCAAATGACTTTTAACAGGAACAAGTAGTGTTTTGCAGCTGTAGGCTGACATTGATTGTTTAAACAAGCTTTATCTAAACAGTGCATTAAATGGTGTTTGACTGACATTGTCTCATAGATTTGCCCAGTTCTTTCTCTGTCCACTGTTTGATGAGAGCTGTAAGGACCGAGAGGTGAACGCAGTGGATTCAGAACATGAGAAGAATCTCATGAATGACGCATGGCGGCTGTTTCAGTTGGAGAAAGCCACTGGGAACCCTAAACATCCTTTTAGCAAATTTGGCACTGGTATGGAAATGCTTCACGGCTGATTTAATCTTTCATGTAGATACTTTCCCATTATCTCTGTTTGTAGACCTAAGATCTTTTGAAACATGCCTTTTTCCCATCATGGGGTGCCATAAATGTTATCTATACTTCCTTCTCAGTGAAGGACAGTAGAAAGCTAGAGGATAATGTCTAGATCAATTTAGTCTAATCTTCTTTGAGAAGATTTATCTCTGCCCATAATAGCCAGATGGTGGCGGCCTTGAGTTATATAAGGCTTGCTTGCACTTAAAAAAAGTGATTTGTTCTGATCACAAAAGTGATTTGTTCTGTCCTTTACCCTCATTTTAATCAGAACCATTTAGAGAAAAACAGATGTGCATTCAAAAAATAAAATGCATTCTGATAGATGTATATGTTAAAGTTTTTTTTTGCAGCAAAAGTTAACATTCTTAACTGTTATTTGCATGACAGAATATCACTTTTTCCAAATGTTTCTTCACAGTTTAATTCTGGCAGGTCTGTAGCCATATGTGAGCTCTGTGAATTTAAAGCTGCCTTCACAAACTGCCAAGTGCCCATTGACTGTCCTTTATGTTCTTATCAGTGCTGGTTGTTCTCCAATAATTTTTTTGTGATTTGTCTCTTTTTGTTAAGGCAATAAGTTAACCCTTGAGACAAGGCCATCTCAACAGGGCATTGATATCCGTGAGGAGCTGCTCAAGTTTCACTCCACCTACTATTCCTCCAACCTTATGGGATTGTGTGTGCTGGGCAGAGGTCAGTCATTGGCCACATAAACCAACCTTAAATTGATTTCTTACGTTTTACACTTGCTAGTGGATGAAGAACATTTCCACTTTTCAATCTGCAAGCTTTTCCTGTTCATTCTGTTTAAAAAAAAAAGTAAATGCAGAATTCTGCAACAAACAGGCTCAGATATTCGTTCTTAAATGTAGCTAACCGTAAACGCAATGATCTGTGAGGTCCATTCAAAGCACGGAAGATTTCTCACTTAGGTTTCAGTCTGATGCTGAATCTTTTATCAAATCTGCCTTGTTGTTTGTCATTCTGTTGAATGAATCATAGTTTGTAGTATGTATTCTGAAGGGTGCAGAGATGAAGGTTTCGGTTTGAGTTTAACGCTCACATTTTATAATTTTTTTTTTTTGTAGAGTCGCTGGATGATTTGACATCTATGGTGGTGAAGCTTTTTGGAGAGGTCGAGAACAAGAACGTCCCTGTCCCAGAATTCCCATCACACCCTTTCCAGGAAGAACACCTGAGGGTAAGATCTAAACCTCCAGTCATGCACCCTAAACCTGCTCCTTGTTAGAGACATCTAATGGAAATGCTTCATCAGAACTGAACCTTTGGTATTATACACTACTGTTCAAAGTTTGAGGTCAGTAAAATGTAATGTTTTTCAAAGGAGTGTTTTCTGCTAAGCAAAGGTGCATTTATTTAATAAAAAAAATACAGTAAAATGGTAATATCGTGAAATATTACAATAGAAAGAACTGTTTTCTATTTATATTTTAAGATTTTAAAATGCAAATTATTTCTGTTATGGCAAAGCTGAATTTTCATCTTTACTCCAGTCTTCAGTGTTACATGATGCTTCAGAAATCATTCTAATGTGATGATTTAGCACTCAATAAACATTTCTTATTACTATCATTGTTGAAAACAGCTGTGCTGCTTAATATTTATCAGGATTCTTTGTTGAATAGAATGTTCAAAAGAACAGCAGTTAAAATGTAATAAAGATTATAAATGTTTTTACTGTCATTTGTGATCAATTTAATGTATTTTGGCCAAATTAAAATATAAATTTCTTACTGAACCCAAACAGTAGTGTAAAGTAGTTAATGACCACTGAGTTTGTAAATGACTAATTCTACTGCATTAAACCCAAGTTTGCAGCACATAATTTCCTTTTCTTTTAAGGAATGTTCTCTGCTACTGTGTTTTCTTATTGTCTGATTCAATCATCAATTTTTCTTGTTTCTTCTCCCACAGCAATTTTATAAAGTTGTGCCTATCAAGGACATTAGAAACTTGTATGTGACCTTCCCTATCCCAGACCTGCAGAAGCACTACAAATCAAATCCAGGTCATTATCTGGGCCATCTGATTGGACATGAGGGTCCAGGGAGTCTTCTGTCTGAGCTCAAAGCTAAAGGTGAGAGAGTTTGTCAGGAAAGCTTTTTCTTTGAGTGGCCAAATGATAAAAACGTGTGAAAAATTAAAGATCATTTGCTTAGATTTAAGGTAAAATATAAGGATCCATATATTTCCGATCTCAACCATGCATTGTGTCCATGGATTCATGGATGCACTCTTGTCTTCTCAGGATGGGTAAACACACTAGTCGGAGGCCAGAAAGAAGGAGCAAAAGGATTCATGTTCTTCATTATTAATGTGGACTTGACAGAAGAGGGGCTGTGTAAGGACCTGGAGTGTTTTTGTGTGTGTTTTGGTGCTGGCCAGTATGTTTTTGATGGCTTGAGCTGTATTTCCTGTATCTCCAGTGCATGTCGAGGATATCATCTTCCACATGTTCCAGTATGTTCAGAAGCTGCGGACAGAGGGCCCTCAAGAGTGGGTCTTTCAGGAGTGTAAGGTATGAACATGCTTGTTAAAGTAGAATCCTGCAATGCAGAAAATGTGGAAAGATTTATGAATTCCATTCAGAAAAAAAATGGAATTTACTGTGTAACCCAGAATGTCATGGAATTCGTCAAAATTTGGGAGAATAAATCAAAAGTAGAGCTGTACACTGAATCAAATCACGAAATAGAGGTTTGGAACAAGATAGTTTAGTATTCACAAACCCTAGTCTATGATAAACACCAGGGCCCGTATTCACAAAACATTTTATCTTACCACTAAGAGTTCTCGTAAATGGCAGTAAACCTTTTAAGAGTTTTCTCTTAAAATCTATTCACAAAGCCGCTGAGACAAACTTTTACTAAGGAATAGACAGAAGTCTTAAGCTAAGAGTAAGGGCGGGGTTGACCTTGTTTCTATGGATGATGGCAGCATATTTACTAGCTATGCACACAGTGATTGGCTGATAGTCTCTGTCGGAGATTTATTCATAGAAATATTGTAGCGCGCAATATTATGTTGCCACATTCAAATAAAGATTTTAAAATGCAGGCTAAGTGTCACTAATTAAACAAGTAGGCTTGATATTCAGCTAATTGTCAGCCTCTTATGCTTCTCGTAAACAATTAGTCAATATGCATTAGGGCTGCCCTCGCCTAAAGATTTTTCTGATCGACTAGTAGTCGTTCATTTTAAGCATTAGTCGACTATTAGTCGCACTTTTATTAATAAATCATAATGAGCCTTTAATTGCCTACATAGCCTAATAAGCGTTCAAGCGCACGCAAAAAAGGCTTGCCACAGCGCACCGGCAAATATAATAATTATGAATGTGTTGGGGAAAAACAGCAAGTACACTGCATTAACATTTAGTTTTCTCTTAAAATCTATTCACAAAGCCGCTGAGACAAACTTTTACTAAGGAATAGACAGAAGTCTTAAGCTAAGAGTAAGGGCGGGGTTGACCTTGTTTCTATGGATGATGGCAGCATATTTACTAGCTATGCACACAGTGATTGGCTGATAGTCTCTGTCGGAGATTTATTCATAGAAATATTGTAGCGCGCAATATTATGTTGCCACATTCAAATAAAGATTTTAAAATGCAGGCTAAGTGTCACTAATTAAACAAGTAGGCTTGATATTCAGCTAATTGTCAGCCTCTTATGCTTCTCGTAAACAATTAGTCAATATGCATTAGGGCTGCCCTCGCCTAAAGATGTTTCTGATCGACTAGTAGTCGTTCATTTTAAGCATTAGTCGACTATTAGTCTCACTTTTATTAATAAATCATAATGAGCCTTTAATTGCCTACATAGCCTAATAAGCGTTCAAGCGCACGCAAAAAAGGCTTGCCACAGCGCACCGGCAAATATAATAATTATGAATGTGTTGGGGAAAAACAGCAAGTACACTGCATTAACATTTTAATTTATTGTTACACTAGTGCTTTCTGTTTTCGGTTTAAGAGATGAAGTCGGCGACACTGACACTGACTGTCATCTCCGAAGTATGCACCTGTATGCATGTTTCATACGTATTACATAATCTGAGAATATTTGTTTTCTATTTGAATTGGTTCAAACTGAACCATAGCTAAGGTTTATCCAAAAAAGTTGCTAGGTTTGTCAGTGTGACGAGAGGTGCGGGGCCGAGAGCCGTGGGAACGGAGTGAGGCCGGTGGAGTAAATGCTAATGTGTGACACCTGCGCCACTCACTGGTAGACCCTTTCGTTACAGTCAGTATGAATATTCTATGGAAAAAAAGCCGCTAAAAGGGTCTGAAAGTTGCTAAATCTAGTGCTAAAGTCGCGTTCGTGTGTGTGAGATGCGGGAGCTGATGGCAGGGGGTGGTGGATATTTGTGGTGGTCAGTGTGGATATTGTGGATGAGTTCTTCTGTGTCATCACGTTCTATTAGTTCTACAGCTTCAGTTTCGGAACGTTCACGCTTAGTAACACATACAGCTGTTCCCTCACCACAGTGCAACAGTGAAAACGGACCCCTTTCAAACAGTGTCGCGTTTCGAACATTGTTTAAGCGACATTCCGTATTGCGGTATTTAAAAAATTCATATCATAACAAAAATAAACACCGGTATTCGGTATGAACCGGTATACTGCCTAGCACTACTTAGGGCTGCACGATAAATCACATGTGATTGTCATGCGCATCTCGTCAGTAAAGCCGGTTCTGTGAATAGTAAATCTCCATCACGTGCTTTCAGATGGAGCGGCATTTAATACTCAGAGCCGTAGATTACTGTTATATCGCGTTCATAATTACATAATCGACTAAAGATTTTTCTGGTCGACTAGTCGTCGTTCATTTTTAAGCGTTAGTCGACTATTAGTCACACTTTTATTAATAAACCATATAAACCATAATAATGAGCCTTTAATTGCCTACATAGCCTAATAAGCGTTCAAGCGCACGCAAAAAAGGCTTGCCACAGCGCACCGGCAAATATAATAATTATGAATGTGTTGGGGAAAAACAGCAAGTACACTGCATTAACATTTTAATTTATTGTTACACTAGTGCTTTCTGTTTTCGGTTTAAGAGATGAAGTCGGCGACACTGACACTGACTGTCATCTCCGAAGTATGCACCTGTATGCATGTTTCATACGTATTACATAATCTGAGAATATTTGTTTTCTATTTGAATTGGTTCATTTAGAAGTTTCACTCTCTATAGATATATTTTTCATGTCTGTAATAAGGCAAGCATACACGGAGTTTCGAAGTGACGTGCTCAAGTTCACAGAGTCCGAGATGGCAGAAAGCGCATCCTGTTTGCTTTCATTATTTTAAAAAAGCGCAGCATTTCGTTGTTATTCTGAGTGCACACGAATAAACGTAGTCTTTACAGATACAAAAGATAACATTAGATTGAGCTGCCATGTAAAGTTGCTACTACATACATATTTCTATTTCAGATGATAAGCCATATTTGAGGTCGATGAATGTTAGGTGAGCATATGGATGTCCTGCCCGATGTACTATTCTATATTACCACAGACCAGCCGTTAACGATTTGTCCGTCACTAACTCCGTGATTTCGCCACTTCATTTGTTTGATCGGCCACTAAAATTTTTTTTCTGCAACTAATAAAATTTTGGTAATATGCATATAAACAGCCTTTTAATTAGCAGAGTAGAATAATCATGGCTGATAGTAAGACATGCAAACATAAAAGAAAAACTGGACACGTGAACAGCTATGTATTAAGGATATAATAAAAAATTTGGAGTTGGGATAACCTCCAAACCAAAGCATACCTTTTTAAAATCTCATTATCATCTAATGTTTCTAAAATGTTAATATTCCGAGGTAGATTGCTGGCAACAGCCGTTTTAGGATAGTTCAGATTTGGTCTTAGTGACTTAGGAGTCCTTTTCACTACTCCTAACGTTTCACAGATTTAGGAGCTAATTTTAGCGCTAAAATGCTTTGTGAAATACTCTTCGAACAAAAATGTAGGAGTCCTAAATTTAGGACCGACACGCCCATTATTTTTAAGTTTTTTCTCCTAAATCGGCGAGATTTGAGAAAAATGAGCTACTTTTAGTCTTAAGATGTTTTGTGAATACAGGCCCAGGTGAATTTTCATACAGTGCTACTGACAATGAGACTTGGTGGTTAGGACATCACTGATTTGTCTCTACATTTTGTTTTTGCAGGATTTGAACACTGTGGCTTTCAGATTTAAGGATAAGGAACGTCCTCGTGGATACACGTCTAAAGTGGCTGGACTGCTGCATGTAGGTGTCTCATTAAAGACTTTAAAAGGTTGTCACCATGGTTACAGTTGCTTGTGTCATCAGGGTGCTGCTCAGTGTTTTGTCAGGAGATCATAGCCAGTGTTTCATTTGAATTATTTTGTGTTTGTGTACTGCATACAACAGCACGCTGCATTCTGTTTACTTCAAAACTAGTGTTTGGAACAGTATGCATTATTACACCAACTGATCAGTATTGTGTAACTTGGCTCGAGAATTAAAGACAAATGGCTGTTTTGCATTTTTCTACACTGATTATTTTAAACCACCAAAAGTTCACAAAATTAGTCAAGAATGATGTTAATCACTGTGTATATTGCTTCTGGCTCATTGGTCACTTTAGAAATGTAAGGTTGAGTGCATTGTATTGTATGATGCCATAAAATACATTTTAACACTGAAAAGCTTTCGAAGGCTATGAAAAGATCAGATATTCTTTGAGAGCAAAAGATATAGAAGATAAGAATATTTCTGAATATAATGCCCATTTCTCTGTGTATCAGTACTATCCGCTGGAGGAAGTCTTGGCTGCTGAATACTTGCTGGAGGAGTTCAGGCCAGACTTGATCGAGATGGTGCTTGATAAACTGAGACCAGAGAATGTCAGGTGAGCACACACAAGGTGGTCTTTCATTTTTGTAACATGCACATAAGTGCATCGATTTAAGAGTGTGCATCGGATACAAGTTGGTATTTGTATCACAATGCATAATTTTTTAACATATTTTAAATTATTTATGTGTGTATATATACTGTATATTGCGTAGCTTTTTTTTCCCATTGCATTGAATCGCATTGTTGAATCAAATCGAAATCAGATCGCACTGCATCGTAATATGGGTGAACCGTATCACATCAGTAGCTGCTTTATATGTATTTTTAATGTATTGTATCATCGGCTATGCATCGAGATGTCTATCGCATCAGCCTCAGTTATGGAGATGCACATCCCTAGTGTGTATATGTAACCTGTGGAAAAAAAGCATTCTGAATAATTTATTTAATATTGGTGGTGTTTTTTTTTTTTTTCCTTTTCTTTTTCAAATTGCTAATCCCATATATTAAACCAAAACACTGTGGTTTGTGTTACCCCTGATAAATGTTGTTGTGGATCGATCTGAAAGATATTTAGTTTCACCTCAGGATGAGATTAGTTTAACAGACATATCACTCTCTTCAAAAACCTTCTGAAGGAGCTTCATATTTGAACCCGTGCAAAGCACATTTCAGCTTCTTTAATATAGTGCTGCTCGGGGCCAAACTGGGCTCAGATTGCTTATTCCTTTTTATCTGTTTTTGAAGATTTTTTTTTTTTTTTTTCACTGGATTTTCTTGCTGTGTTTGAAAGAATCCCACTTCTGATTCTCACCAGTGTGACGAAGGCTTTCAAATAAAATTTCCTTTCCAGCTTTAAAAGAGCATTTGTCTCTGTTTGAACTGCATCTCAACCCCATACCATTGCTACTCTTGTTGTTTTTGGGATGGAAGTACTTGTAGGGTTGCTGTATTTAATTTTGTCTTAGTATTTCCAAACCGTTCAGATCAAGACTTTGCCTTCAGATCTGGTGATTTACTGCTTGTCATACCTCTTGTGTGATTGACTACACCACTGACCTTGCTAAAAGCTCTGCAACACTAGATGACCAAAGTCTCACATAGCCAGACTTCTGGCTATCTGTGAAAATCTGATCTAGCCTTTTCTGGCCAAGAACTGCCAACTTGGACAGCTAGAGACCATCTGTACCATATTTAAAATGACCAAGCACAGTTATTGTGACATTTAGCAGTGGGTTTATCAGAATTTGAAATGACATTTTGACTTGTATCCTGTTTTTTCATAAACGTTGCCAAATCCACCAAGTAGTTCTTCTTCCTCAGAAGTGTGCACTGTAGAAACCCAGTACCTTGTAAACAACACTTCCACTTTTTCCTGTAGAACTGAATAAAAATCTATGCTCTCAGTGCTGGAAATTTTGTAGCACCAATTAAATTAAAGCTTGACAGATTGAGAAAGCACTTGCTGTTTTTGTGTGCACTAAGCATCAGGCAGTGGGTAAATGGTCTGGAACTGCTGTATCCTGCTGGTAACCTTGTGTGATTTAGACTACTTCTGGAAAGAGTGTTCAGGTTTTTAGACCGAACCTATTCTGGGCTCTTATGTAGTTGATTGATGCAGGGGAGTCCAGAATATCACGTAATTTTTCCAAAAGTTCTCTATTGATCAGGACGGTCTAAAATGTCCAGAAATGGTGCATTGATCTAAAGCCCTGCACGGCAGATTGAGAAGCTCCGGGAGACTCGAACCTTTGATTGATGTAATGACCATAATTCCCCATCTATTTACTGAGGCAGAGATCTGATAAAAGCTTAATTGTATGGCCTTTTTTCCTCAAGGGAGTTGTGAGAAATGGACTGTGTCATGCTGTGTCTGGTGCAGTGATCTTGCAATTCTTTTGGCTTCACTTTTATTTCTTTTAGGGTCGCTGTTGTCTCTAAATCGTTTGAAGGGCAGACAGACCGGACTGAGGAGTGGTACGGCACGCAGTACAAACAGGAAGCGATTACTGATGATGCTATTAAGGTGAGACACATTTTGTTTTGGTCATGTTTGATTTTTTTGTTCTTTCCTGTTCAAAGTATGCACAGAAACCTTATCTTCATTTTCATTCAGAATTTAGACTAGTGTTAAATGGTCTGGACCGGAAACTAAAAGGGTGTAGGGAGGATCCATGTATTATGAGCATTGTATATTTGATCAAAGGGGACTAGCCTTGTGCTGAGCTCTGAAATAAGCAAGTCAGATTGATGATTTTTGTAAAAATGCTATAAACTCTACTCTAGCAGACTCTGGTTTACTGTAAACCAAATCGTTGGTTTCCTTTTCTTTTTTTTATTTCAGAAATGGCAAAATGCAGACCTCAATGGAAAGTTCAAACTGCCAATGAAGAATGAATTCATCCCGACAAACTTTGAGATTTATCCTCTAGAAAAGGATTCCCCATCTGTCCCAACTTTGATAAAGGTGTGTTGTTAAAACTATTTTGTATAATTTGCACTAGGAGTAATTTTACATGAATTACTGAAAGCCTCTCAAACATTCTTTTATTTCTTCCTGAATCTTTTTTCTTTTTCTTTTTAGGACACAGCAATGAGCAAAGTTTGGTTCAAACAAGATGACAAATTTTTCCTACCCAAGGCTTGTTTAAACTTTGAGTTTTTCAGGTATGTTCAGCATAAAAACTGTACATAGTAGGGATTGTCCATTTGTTTTTTCATAATAGGGGTGCTCCGATCAGGATTTTTGAGGCCGATCACAGAAAGCAGTATCTGCCGATACGATCACCGATACCGGTCTTTTTAAAGCCTTATTTTTATCATGTGGAATTATAGTAATACTCCAATCAGGATTTTTAGACACTTATTCAGGGCCTGAATTATTACAAGCAGTCCTGTGGTTCATAAAGAACTTTTTTTTTTCCTACCTCCACGAGTGCCATCTATTATTGCCTTGTTTATCTAAAAGTGCTCTTTTCCTTTAAACCTAGCCAACAAGCCATATGTGTTGACTGAAACACAGCAAACTTTAATTATATATGCGTTTATGGTGTAATTACTACATTTTCGTTTTCATATTTACAGCGAACAATGCGCTGTCACTTTAATTCAGCGCGTGCAGCGGAAACGATCTCTGCACTGCAGCAGGCGCACCACTCATGGAACGCACTGCCGTACCGCGACTATGTGCCGTGTGAATGTTTTAAAATCCATTAACACGAGTGTGGAAAAAAATACTCACCGCATACGCACTGCAAATGGAGAATGTGTGAACCTGGCGTTATGTGTGCGCGCTTTGAGTGTGCATGAGCGCTCAGTCTCCAGGAGAGCATGCGAGCGCTGAATGGTTTAAACACTGGCAAGAATTAAAAAGAAATGCAGTTCATAAACTTTAGTGATGATGCAACACTGCCTCGAATGTGCAAGTGATAATTCCTGTCAACTGTGCAGCTCGCTTATAGTGCAGATGTGATTTGAAGCCATTTGCGCATTTTGAGAGGGAAGAGAGAGTGTGCGGTCATTCACTCGCGCTATTTGTGAAAAATTTCAAATGACTTATATGAATTGTACCTCACCTTCAGCATTATAATTATTTCACCCGTGCCAGACTGAGACGGTGCCGCTGCATGTCGTGCCAAACCTCGCACGGCAGACACACGTCATCAGCTTGAGATCATTTTTTTGAGATCGGCCATTATAGAGACAGCCGATCAAACATCCCAAAGCTATTATCGGCCGATAGTGATCGGTAGCCGATCAATCAGAGCACCCCTATTGCATAATATTAATAATTAGTAGTAGGGTTTTTTTAAATAAGATTTTTTTAAATCTGCAAAATATTATTCACAGATTTAATGAAAATGTAATGATTAAATTAGAAATGATTTTAATGTGAGATGATCTGGACTTGTTTTGACAGGTGTCATGAGATTCACCCGAAATTTTTTTTACTAGTTTACAGGTTTTACTGATACTTTTTCTTCCCCTCCCAACAGTGAAGTGTTTTGCTGTAGACCAACTAACCTCATTTTAAAGTTATAGAAATACTGATTTTTATTTTTTTTTATCCTGTTAACCTGTTAACTAACTGTTTAACTACTCGAAACCATTAAGAAACTACAATAACATTTTTCAGAGATCGACCCTTCGTACTAAAGTTACAAGTGACCGGGTTTATCACATGCGTTTTTTCCACAGCCCGTTTGCGTACGTGGACCCGTTGCATTGTAACATGGCGTATTTGTACCTTGAGCTGCTCAAGGATTCCCTGAACGAGTATGCATATGCAGCCGAGCTAGCTGGCCTGAACTATGACCTTCAAAATACCGTCTATGGGATGTATGTAAGTATCCTAATATTTCCCCATGCCACTGTTTCCCAACATGCTCCTCCTGTGAGGACGACAGTCCAACTTCACACACAAACAAATGACTACCAGTGGTTGCTGTCCTTGCGGTTGTAACCCCAAATCTTTGTTTGTGGCCTTTACACAGCTAAAAACTCTTCTCATTCTTTTAGTGTTGTTTTTCCGGATGTTGAAGTAGACTAGCTTTAGATAGTCGCCGGAGCCGAGGCTGCATATTCATACTCTGTCTGTGGTCCCTCTCAACCTGTTTCCTTTTTTGTCATGACCCTTCCATAGAAAAATCACTCCATTTGTACTTTTTTTCCCCTTTTCTTTTTTTTTCCCATCCTGCTAGTCGCTACCTATATGCAGACCCGCTGCACTGCAACATGACTTACCTGTTTCTCAGGTTGTTGAAGGATGATTTGAGAGAGTATACATATGCAGCCCGCCTGGCAGGGTTGGTCTATGGCATAGCGTCAGGAATGAATGCCATCCTTGTAAGTATGGTAATTAACCCCGCCCCCTTTTGAAAGGGGTGGGGCTTTGGGTGAAGGGCGGAGCTTGAGGCTTATGAGTGTGCAGGGTCACTTGTCTGTTAAATTCTGCTGCTTTCGGCAAAATAATGGGATGTTATACCTTCAAAATATGTCTAATCTGTCTGCTAGAATATTTTGAAAAGGGTTATTGTATTTTGTGTTGGGTTTAGGTGGTTTTAAAGATACACGCCCAAAAGAACCAAACCGAAAAAAGAGAATAAATGCTTGTCAAGCACAATGACAAAACACCTTAAAGTCAGTCCATATGACTTGTGGCGCTATATTTCAATACTCTTGCATTCGTTTGGAAGATTTGTGGAAGAACAGAGGAAATTGAGTTGATTCCCTCTGCTGTAGTCCTTTTTTATTTTGCGCTTGCATATATTAAAATGGACATTTCTAGACGAACCATGTTTAAATGTTAGTAACATCAAATGTCCATGTTTTTGACCAATCGTTTAAACCCTTGTTCACACAAATCTTATGCTGAAGGTCAGAAAGGAGAAAATAAAATAGTGACCCATTTTTAAAGACACTTTCCACATCTTTTGGGCTGTATCTTAAAGCAGTGGTTAATGTTGGCATGTTTGGCTTCTTCAAAGGAAAGGCTTTAATGTAAAGTTTGTGATGGTTGAGTTAAAGCACTGTCGATCTAATTAACTAACTCTGCACTTTAAGACTTCCATCCAGACTAGTCCAAGTGTTTACTGCTGTTCAGAGGAATCCCATTAGTCTGACTAATATTTGTGGTGTTCAGTTAGGGTGACCACATTAAACTTGTACAGACACATTTAGATTTTTTGTGCCAGATAAATATTGCTCTAATCGCAAAAACACATTTATATTAGTTGTATAGTAGTTTGGTTCGTCTCTTAAAGTGTAGCTATTTTTTTTCTGTCAGCTGTATTGTATTACAAGTTTTCTGAATGTTGTTTAAATATGTAAATTAGGTATTATCTAATTAAATATGCATTAATTGGTATACATTTCCAGAACAGAAATCTGAACATTGGATAAAGCCAGGTTCAAGTGAAAAGGTAAAAGCCTTCATAATATAGATAGGAACAAAAGTATAATGTTTGTATTTAAGTTCTACTGAATTTTTAGCTCGGTGCAGGAGAAAAAAATTTTTTTTGAAGACCTTTTAAAGGTAAATAGCCAAAATTTAACTAGTACATGGATTGTCTTTCCTTAATGGGTAGTCTAAAGTAGCTTCCCCATCACAGGATGGGATCAGCCAAGATAGATGTTAATAGCAGGTGTAAACAGGCTGACTGATATTGGGATGACGTGGCAAAGCTGGGCTGCTCGTAACCTGCTGTGTGATTCACTTACTGCTTGCACACACACATTCATCATCACAATCTAAATGCACTGCATTGATGGTTGTCTGAAGATGAAACCTTTAAAGTGTAACTTTAAATGTTTTTAGTCTGTTCTGCAGTAACTCAATGCATCTGTGCTGAATTTGTGTATGTTTGTCTTCCATTCTAACAAATTTCAAAGACCATGAATAATGGAAGTCAGTCCTTGAGCCAATTTTGTTCTTCTCACTCATTCTCAAAATTAATCAATGTATCTTTGTGTGTCAGCTGTCAGTCAAGGGTTATAATGACAAACAACACATCCTGCTGAAGAAGATCATCGAGAAAATGGCCATGTTTGAGATCGATGAGAAGCGCTTTGATATCATTAAGGAAGCGGTGAGAGAGACAAACACACAAGATACTTTTACAATAACAGATGACACCATTATTGGCGCAAATCTATACTTGCAGGATTCTCTGTAGATTTCCACAGAAGTTCACCTGTAATTTATTTTGGCTAATTTGTGTTTTCAGCTCCTCGTAACACATTTCACCATGTTTTTACACCTAAAACCAAATGAAAGGTTTTCTTTTTTAATTTTAGTTTTTTTTTTTCATTTTGGGGAAACCGAAAGTTTGTTTAATAATCAATTTAATAATAAACCCCTCATGACACTCATTAAAAAAAGTTGTAGATTTAAATTGCACACGAGGCAGTTCTACTCCAGTTTGTTGTTTATAAACATTTAAGTCTATCAAGAAAGTTATTACAGCCACCATTAATCAAACATGCATTCAGGCACGCTAACAGATTAAATTAAATATCTAATACAATGCATGTATTTGGCAAAATGCTTTTCTCTAGTTACTTTTTCTAGATAACTAATGAGCTTTGGTAATTACAAGCTGTATTTCTGCAGTTGAAACGCTGAATGATTTTTTTCGGTTGGTGAAATTGATGCGTCATTAGCAGAAATATCTGTAGATTTATGCCTGCTAGTCAGACTTTTGGCATTTTCGGATCTGTGTCCATGAGAAAATGTGCTCTGTAACTGTGTTATCTAAATTAAATTTGTGTGTTTTTCAGTACACGAGGTCTCTGAATAATTTCCGTGCTGAGCAGCCTCACCAGCATGCCATGTATTACCTGCGGCTGCTCATGACTGAGGTGGCCTGGACCAAAGACGAGCTTCGAGACGCTTTAGATGGTGCGATGCTCTTTCATTGTTTTGTGAAAGCGAGTGTAGTGGTCTCCTGCATGTGTGTTCATGCTGTGACTGTGTTTCTCAGATGTGACGTTACCTCGTCTGAAGGCGTTCATACCGCAGCTGTTGTCACGGTTACACATTGAAGCCCTGCTGCATGGCAACATCACCAAACAGGTTTGTATGAAAAACATTTTTCCTTGAAGACATACAGAAAAGGCAGGTCTGTCTCCAGACAGGTTGAAACTATTCCTTTTAAAATAAATGAACCGTACTGTTTGCTGTCTAATGTATGTTTTGGGATATGCTTGATGAATCTCTGAATTTTGTTCTTTTGTAAATTGGTAATTCATTGAATTAGCTCACAAGTTGACAAAACATAATGTTAGATTTTGCTTTCAAGATCATGTTGTGTAATGTGAGCAGTGCAGTCTGTCTAACTGTCTGTTGTCTCCAGTCTGCTCTGGGCATGATGCAAATGTTGGAGGACACTCTCATTGAGCACACTCACACTAAACCCCTCCTGCCGAGTCAGCTCATTCGCTACAGAGAAGTGCAGGTACCTGACGGTAAGTGCTTAGCACCACAAACACCTATGCAACATCTGAGCTGGACTTACACAGTCTTTCCTTCAGCTTTTCTCCAACTTTGAGCTCTGTATCCTTACATACAATATACACCACTGTTCAAAAGTTTGGGGTTGGTAAAAATTGTGTAGCTGAAAAAAAGTGTTTACCAAGGCTGCATTTTTGATCAAAATACAGTAAAAACAGAAATATTGTGAAATATTACAATTGAAATTAAAATGTTTCTATTGGAATTGATTTTAAATTGGAATTTATTCCTGTGATGCCAAGCTGAATTTTCAGCATCATTACTCCACTCTTCAGTGTCACATGATCCTTCAGAGATCATTCTAATATGCTGATTTGATGCTTAAAAAGCATTTATCAATAGAGAAATCAGTTGTGCTGCTTATTTTTTCTTAAATTAATAGAAAAAATAGTATTTGAAATAAATCTTTTGTGACATGTCAATTTTGATCAATTGAATGCATCCTAAATCATAAAATTACTGCCTTGACCATTTTTTTAATATACAGGTTCTAATAAAAATGTAATAATGAAAGAGCCTTCAGACTTTTCACAGTCTAAACAAAATCTAAACTTAAACTTTCATACCAGTTTGTGACTTTAAAAAATATTAAGAAAAATACTTAAGTTTAACATTTTATATTCACGTTATGTGGGGGGTTTTAATACATTTTATAGTATGTTATGCCATCAATACGTCTTCATAGGAATGAAGAAAATAAGATGGTATTAAGACCATCATTGTATAATTTGAGGTCTATGATATTTGTATTCATTTTGTGTGTGTTTGTCATGGTTCTTGTGCTTAAGTCCAGTTCTCTGTGGTTATCAGGTGGTTGGTATGTTTACCAGCAGAGGAATGAGGTTCATAATAACAGTGGAATCGAGATTTACTATCAGACTGACATGCAGAACACCCATGAGAACATGCTGCTGGAGCTCTTCTGTCAAATCATCTCTGAGCCATGCTTCAACACGCTACGCACCAAAGAACAGCTGGGTAACACACACACTCAGGAGAAATGCTCTGTTGTCTGTGGAAATACAATTTTCTCTCGTTTGTCATGGTTCTTGTGCTTAAGTCCAGTTCTCTGTGGTTATCAGGTGGTTGGTATGTTTACCAGCAGAGGAATGAGGTTCATAATAACAGTGGAATCGAGATTTACTATCAGACTGACATGCAGAACACCCATGAGAACATGCTGCTGGAGCTCTTCTGTCAAATCATCTCTGAGCCATGCTTCAACACGCTACGCACCAAAGAACAGCTGGGTAACACACACACACACTCAGGAGAAATGCTCTGTTGTCTGTGGAAATACAATTTTCTCTCTTGTTGTCTATCAATGTGACGATTGGACCAAGTATTTCTGTTCAGACTTTCACTCCCACTGCTCTTAAGAACATTTCTCTCTTTCTCTGTGTCTGTCCAACCAGGTTACATTGTGTTCAGCGGCCCCCGCAGGGCCAATGGAGTGCAGGGACTGCGTTTCATCATCCAGTCTGAAAAAGCTCCTCACTACCTGGAGTCTCGGGTGGAGGCCTTCCTCAAGACGATGGAGAAGAGTGTGGAGGAGATGGGAGAGGAAGCGTTTCAGAAACACATCCAGGCACTGGCTATTCGCCGTCTTGACAAACCCAAGAAGCTGGCGGCCGAATGCGCCAAGTACTGGGGAGAAATCTTCTCCCAACAGTACAACTTCGACAGGGGTGAGAGTCACCGATCAGCTTTTGAAATGAACTCATGTTAGCATCAAGTATCTGAAGTTTTAAAATCACTGACTTTGATTTTCTTTGTCTGATCTAGATAATATTGAAGTGGCTTACCTGAAGACACTGACAAAGGAACATATTATGCAGTTTTACAGGGTTGGTAATGATCCGAATACGTTGTCACACACTGAAACGGATGCTGTTTCTTGCAGCATAATCATAACTAGATTTGCATATCCTGAAGAAAATGTCCATGCTTGCAGCAAAATAAAAGTTCGGATTTAGGCTTTGGTTCAGTGGTAATGACATTTTCATAAAACGCACATATTTTCATGATGGATGAGAGTCTGCACACAATGTACACAGTCTTTGCCTTGTAAAAGCAGATGCATGATAAATAGACCAATCACTATTCAGTATGCAAATGCATGCAAAAAGGACCAATCTCAACGGCATATGCAAATATTTCAGTGAGGCCATTGCTGTCTGTTACATGCTTAAACATTCTGTCAGGTTGGAGGGAGATATTGGTCTCGCTTTATTTTAAGGTTCAATTCTCACTATTAACAAACCATTAATTACGACTTTTGCCTCAAACTCCTAATTTGCTATTTCTTAATAGGTAGTTAAGTTTAGGTATTGGGTAGGATTAGGGATGTAGAATATGGTCATGCAGAATATGTGCTTTATTATAAGCGGCCAATATGTTAATAAAATAGGCATGCTAGTAACCAACTAGTTAATAGTGAGAATTGGTCCCTATACTAAAGTGTTACCGAGATTTTCATTACTTTTATTACTTCTATTAAAAATATATATTAAATATTTGATATTATTAACATTGTTTTTTAGTTATAAAACAGAGCACATTGAGTGTGTATAAGTAGTTTTTGAGTGCCTAATTTTAAACTGGCTTGCAAAAACGGATAATTTTATCTTTAGATTTCCCAAAAATTCAATTCCTCATGTTGTCATGGGGTTTAATCGTCATGTCTGTTCTCTCCAGGACTTGTTGGCCATTGATGCCCCTAGAAGACACAAAGTGTCTGTGCATGTGCTGTCTAGAGAGATGGACTCCTGTGAGTACTGACACCGTAAGGTTGAAACATTCAGATTTTACTGAGCAGGGCACATTCATTTATTTTTACCATGTTTTTCCTGCAGGTCCACTGGTTGGAGAGTTTCCTGCTCAAAATGATGTCAATCTGGCTCCTGCCCCTTCACTTCCTCAGGTACTGCATAGATGTATATGTACAGTTTGTGATAAGCATTTTTGCCAATATAAATAATTCAAGAAAACTGTCCAAATGTCAGATGATTGTACTCCACAGTTCAAAAGTGTGGGTTCAGTGGGATTTTTAAAGTTAAAGAAATTATATAATCTCACGTTTTTATATTTAAAAAAATGCAACATTGATAGTTTGAGCTGCAAATTAGCGTATTAGAATGATTTCTGAAGGATCATGTGACACTAAAAGCTGGTGTATTGATGCTGAAAATACAGTTTTGCCATCACTGGAATACATTACATTTGACAAAATATTAAAGTGATGATTAACTTGTAATTTCACAATATTATTGTTTTTACTGTAATTCTATTTATTTTACTGTCATTAACATTATGTGCCCGCTAACTTTCAAACGATATGCTCATTGTGGTGATTTTCCATGGCCAAGCACTACTCGCATTTTCTTAAAAAAAAAAAAAAAAAACCACAACAAGAACAAATAACTCATTGTGTTGTTTTGTGTTGTGTGTTTTGAAAGTGAATGGGGACCGTGACGGTCAAGCTCGAAAAACGGCATAAAAGAACCGTAAAAGTTGTCCATGTGACCTATATTTCAAATATTCTGAAGCCATTTAATAGCTTTGTGATGCTGTTGTTATTAAACTCTTCAGTAATTGAAATAAAGCTGAAATAAAATATACATTTTAGAGGGGGGTGGGGGAAGCTACATAAAGCTAAAAATAAGAAACTAATCATTTCAAAACCACATACTAAAATGACTAAAACCTTAATTAAAATTAAAACTGAAAATACTAATTAAAAATAATAATATGCTATAGTATATAAATTCTGAAAGAACTGAAAATCATGGCTGCTTTAATATAATTTTAATTTTTTCATAATTTAAATTGAAGTCTGTTCATCACAATACAATCATATGGCTTCAAATTATTTGGATTGCACAATCAGTAAGATGAAAGCATGTTTGATTTGCAACGACACGAGGCTGAGAAAATGTCAATTTTCACTTTGGAGAGAAATGTAAATGAAGAATGTTGGGGTCCAAACTATTTTAGACCCAGCTGACTTCCATTGTGTGGACATAAATATTTCTCAAATTTTGTTTCCCAAAAAAAAAAAAAAAGAAAGGCATACAGGATTGGAACGAAATGAAGGTGAGTTAATGATGAAAGTGTGTTTATTTTTGTATGAACTCATTTATTTGGCTCTGAGTCACAGTGCTTTTATTTTGTGGGGGAAAAAAGCAGCTTGGACGTTCTGCTAAACATCTTTTTGTTCCGTATAGAGACAACAGGTTTGGAATGACATGTGGCTGAGTAAATGACACTTGTATTTATTTTAATTTCGGGGGTGAACTTCTAGATTACTTTAAATTCCAAAGATGCATTTCGTATGCAATCGGAGCACTACTCGCATTTTCTTAAAAAAAAAAAAAAAAAACCACAACAACAACAAATCACTCATTGTGTTGCTTTGTGTTGTGTGTTTCAGCCATCATTGGTTCTGGATATGACTGAATTCAAAAGGAGTCTGCCGCTGTTCCCTCTCGCCAAACCTCACATCAATTTCATGGCTGCCAAACTGTGATCAGCATCATGGGATTGTCAGAGACGCCCAAATATGGAGCCAGTAACACCGTTGTCTGTGTGTGTGTGCGCGTTTGTGTGTGTGTGTAAGCAGGCAAGGCCACGATGGAGCCGCTTGCAACATTTTTAGTTGTGCTCTGCGTCAGACACGCACACCTGATATCTCTTATATACATAGAAAACATACAATGTTTGTTTCACGTTGCTTCTGACAGGAAATTTGTATCCCTATATAATATAGGAATCACTCGCTGGCAACGACGACACACTCAATGTTCGGTTTAATTTCAAAATGCTGTTTCATTTCATTTACACCACTGTTAAGCAAAAACACGAGAAACCGTTTGGAGAGGCTGTTGTGTAATTAATCAAGACAAGTCTCTCTTGAAATGAAATAACTGACCTTAAGATGGTTTTAATCAGTGATCAGGTTTTCTGGCACTTTTTTAAAAGTTTAATTTAATCTATTTGCTTTGAGTTGTTTTTAGTTTCTGTGCATGTTTGGCAGAGTTTTATCTTTAAGGATAGTGTTGCAAATGCAAGGTGGTTAACTTGATGGACTTTGATTTTATTTGCAGTTGACGAAATATCATAATAAACAATTTTAATATCATTTTCATTTGCTTATTTAAGTTACTTTGTCCTTAAACGATTCATAATATACCTGAAACCCTGACCTAAACTCAGTGTCATAATAGAAATACAATTATGTAAATCGTTTGTGAAAACCTCACATAAGAATGTTTTAAGACGCTTTTGATTTGAGTTTTAAGTTTTACACAATTGAATGCAACAGTTTATGCACCACTGGCTTTTCCAAACGATTTAACATGAATATGATCATGAATGATGCAGATTGTGTTTTTCAGGATGCTTAGTTCGATCAAACTCGCCCATATACCGATGTCCACATGCAACACGATGACATTTCAGGAGTTGTTGCATGAAACTGACTCGGAAATCCCCTTTAGGGTTTGTTTTACTACTTCTGTCTTGACTTGTGATTATGCACTCCTCACAAGCAATAATGTGACTTACAGGACCTATGACTAGTGTCTTAAACTCTATACTAGGTGTTTTTCTTGACATTGTTTGAGCTTGGTTCTGAGAAACTGATTAGACGAGAACTAGACTTGGTCTGTGCTGTAATTTACCTGCGCTGATGCAAGAACATCGTGTCAGTCTGTAATCCATGTGTGTCCTCATCTCAGGTGTGTGTTAGCCTTGTCTCGAGCCAAGTCTTCAACATCACTTGTGTTTCTAGTGCTGAGATTTATTCTGAACTTACTCAGGCATATCAAATCGACTGTATGCTGCATTTTTTAGAAACTCAACGACCATCCTACCACGTCCATCAAAATAATGAATACTGTTTCATACTCAGCAAAACAAACTATCAGAAAGGGTATAAACTTAGATGAGTTTGGTTGTATCACTAATATGGATATAATCCGGCGTCTCACTGCATTGGTTTTAGTGGTCTGTATTTTTGTTTTTGAATTTAAAGGAATAGTTCAGAGTAGTTCATCCATAAATGTAGTAATTGTATTGGTTCTCGTGGCGTTCCAATCTTGTATGACATTCTCTTTCATGAAAAAAGAAGTTTGGTGAAATGTTCATGCAGTTCCTTTCCATGCAATGAAAGTGAATGGGGACCGTGACGGTCAAGCTCGAAAAACGGCATAAAAGAACCGTAAAAGTTGTCCATGTGACCTATATTTCAAATATTCTGAAGCCATTTAATAGCTTTGTGATGCTGTTGTTATTAAACTCTTCAGTAATTGAAATAAAGCTGAAATAAAATATACATTTTAGAGGGGGGTGGGGGAAGCTACATAAAGCTAAAAATAAGAAACTAATCATTTCAAAACCACATACTAAAATGACTAAAACCTTAATTAAAATTAAAACTGAAAATACTAATTAAAAATAATAATATGCTATAGTATATAAAACATTTTATGGAGGACTGTTTACTGATCCTGGGAGAGTAACGTTAGACTAAAATGCCGGCAGTTCTGACACACGTTAGTACGTTTTCTTTTATCATTTGCCACTGATTGATTCAAACGCGAGTTTTGGGCAGTGTGGAGTAACGTTAGCACTTGTTTGTCATTTCTCCGATCACAAATGCAGACAGGTTTTTATGTTTACGCGGCGCGATGCAATGCAACGCGTAAAAAGACAGTACAAGTCATTATAATCAGTAATTATGTCCCCACTGGATGCAACAAATGCCTCGTTTTAATGTTTTTGTCTTGTTGCTCCGGCCGGGACACGGCATCACAGTATGGTGAGGGGCGTAACATTTCCGTCTCACGCTTGAGGTATTCGGCCAATCACAACGCACTGGATAGCTGGCCAATCAGAGCACACCTCGCTTTTCAGACCGATGAGCTTTGTAAAAATCGACGCGTTTCAGAAAGGTGGGGCATAGAGGAGAAACAATAATGTACAGTATGTGGAAAATAATGTTTTTTTTTTACTTTAAACCACATAAACACATTTCATTACACCAAATAAGGTTATTTTTAGCAATGTCATATGACCCCTTTAATATTTTTAATGGGCTCATAAATAGGCCTACCTTAATTCCTGAAAGGATTCCTGCTTCCATTAATTTTCACGGGTTTTATTTTGTTTGTACATATTGCTGCCCTAAACTGTAAAAAAGAGAGAAAAAAAAGTTGACCTAACTCAAAAAAAAATAATAAAGCAACCTATCGCACTCAACGTAAGTTAACTCAACTAGCAACCACAACTTAACTTTAGTTCATCTAATGAATAAAAGTCAGTCTACGGAGTGTTATAAGATCTGTCAGAGCAACCAAAGATTTGTTTTAGCATTTAGCAATGCTAATCTTTTTTTAACAAACCTTTCTTCTAGATATGTTTATTTCCAAAGCCTTCTACATAATATGGGTAGTATTTGCCTCTTAAAACTAAAAGCAAACATAGACAAATCTATTAAACAAGTTGCAATGAGATGCACATACAGTAAGTACAGCAGCAGCATAAATTAAGCTAGTAAAATTTAAAACTGATAATATTTTAAATAAAATGTTTTCAAGCTGCAGTGCATGCTGGGAACTTGTGCAATATTGTTCCATGTAAAAATTGTTTGTTCAGGTGACTCGATTTGAAAAGTTGGGAGAACATTTGGATTTGTGAACAAATACTTGAGTATCTAAGTAAGGTAAACAAAACAACTTTTGCTAGCGACATGTTTAGAGTATTTTTGTTCAGTTCACACAAAACATTATTTGTTCTGGCTACTTCTTTACATTAGTTAGTAGAACTTTTCCAAAGTTGGATTTTTTTACAGTGTAAAGATGAAGCTTGAAAACATAAGTTCTGTACCGAGACAACATTAGTGACACAAAAATGATACTATCAGTTTATATGCTACAGATTTTAGGAGTAGATCACATCATTTATCTCAATGCTAAGAAACATTTTAGTCCAAGTTAAAAACTCAAACTGTCAGGCATTGAAAAAATAAATTTATTTACATAAACCAACCAGGAAACTATCAATTCAGAAGCCACATCTGTACAACATACATGTTCTGTATTTGGCATTATGCTTCATCTGTACAACATGCATACCCCACTGATATTATACAGCACAATTAGATGCTGAAAAGAAAGTCAGAATTTAAAATCCTATTTAGGCAACAGAAAAACTCATCTGCTACTTCTAGTCTCGCAGTTGGTGTACATAAACACTATTTCTTAGCACCTACGTCACCATTAAGCATGTTCTTTCAGGGTTACGCCCATCTTCAAGAAGCTGTAATGATGTACTTGAGCTCTATGGACAAATAGAACTCCAAAAGCTAATTAGGTGTGAAGTTTAATTAATTGCACAAGCCTCTCACTGCCCACTGTAGTGTAGTAATGGTTGGAAACTTCACAGTTGCTAATGGCTGGCGATAAAACAGAAGCACTACATTAATCAAACGCAATGATTCAGAAAACAATTGGCATGTTCACCAAATAAACCTAGCTGTCCATCTGAACCATGTAACCTTTAAGACACATATATTGTCCTGGTGTAATAAAAAGGCCACTAATACTCTTAAAGTTCACTGTTCTACACAAGACTATTTATCTCTGGGAATATATAATGAGACCGGTTTATTAACAGCAGTTATGAGTCATCAAGTACCATAATGTTTTAATAAAGTGATGGATTAAGGACCAAACACTGGATTCTCGGTTTGTACAAGAGTCCTTAACAGACAGACTATAAAAGACAAATTCCCTGAACCTCAAGACATCAACAGCACAAAGATGGAAATGAAACATGATCAGCTGATCGCTTAAATTATGTGAACGCAGGCAAGATGGTGAATTTCACAGAAGCGGTCATATTTCATCCCAAAATTGACATAAAAAAAAAAAAATTTCAAATATCGCATTAAAAAAAAGCAATGGGACTTTTTTGATTTGTGAAATGATTTCCATGATTAAATGCTAAAAAACAAATGTTCAATTAGAGCTATTTGTAAAGTATCATTTTAATAGTATACATGATACGTACTAAACTGAAACAAAAATAATTGTGCCCAGACTTGCCTTTTTTATATGCAAAACAATTGATTTCTTTTGACTTTGGTGTGAAATATAACAGGAAATGGGGACATTTCTTTGTGAAATTCATCCGAGAAGAACAACCACAAAAAAGATTATTTTATAAGATTATTCAAGGAAAATAAAAGCTTTAGATGTTTACATTTGCCTTTAGTATTTATCATTGCATATGCAAGTCTAATTGTTAATGAGTGGACAAAAGTGCTTCATGTGAAACGGCACGTCGTCTTTTGCATGTTAAGGATGCTTTAAAGATGATTCACCTGAACATTTCTAATTCAATATAAAACAACCACTTATTAATATAAAACCTTCTTTCAATATTTGTTTTCCTCAGTCTCTTTCTTAAAATGTCAAAGCTCATAAAATAAGTAACGCGCAACTCTCAGGTCTGATTAGATCAACTGAAACAAAGCTGAATCACCGTTCAAACGCAGTAGTCACATTCCCAAGGAAGAAGAGAAAACCAAATCCAGCGTCTGTGAAAGTCCGGTAGTGTCTCTCAAAGCTGAGTGAAATCATGGAATCCAGCAGAGGTCTGATGATGAGCTCAGGCCTCCTCCGTCTCAGGGAAATTGAGGATCTTGCGATGAGCTTGTCGGAGATACTGCTGCTGCTTGAAATAAACCTTAAACGCCCCTTTAATAGCCACAAATGCAATGCCACCCTGAGACAGAGAGATCAGTGTGAGGTTATGTGTGTATAAACCACTGTGATAGTTTTCCATGATATTCTCGTACCAGGATGGTCCTCTGAAGATTTGAGTTGACGCTGCTGAACATCAGTTTACCCACGATGGTGGCGATGGTGGGGAACACGAGGGCGCCGCACAGGATGCGTGTGGCAGACACGTGATCGGCCAGCGGACTGGCCTCCGCCGGGATCCTCGGCACTGGGCAGCCGATACCTGCGCATGACAGGGTGAGAAACAAGATTTATCAACATTTTTGGTGACAGTTTCACAGAAGCTTGTAATAAACAATATAAGTAGTGATGAACAGACATGTCAGGCAGTTTAGCTTTCCATTTGGCACTCCAAACTGGTTTCAGATATTGAATTCTGAGTAAATATTGTGTAAAACAGGTGTTGAATTAATTAACATTTTATTTGCATTATTTTATATTAGTGTTAAAATTAACTTTACAATAAAGAATATATATTAGGAAATGTCTGTAACATCTATAACTGTAATATTTAAAATATTAGACCATATGTGACCCTGGACCACAATAAGGCTCAATTTTTTGAAATTGAGATTTATACATCAAGCTGAATAAATACGCTTTCCATTGATGTATGGTTTGTTATAATACAACTATTTGAAAATCTGGAATCTGAGGGGGCAAAAAAAATTAATATCTTAATGATTTTTGGCATAAAAGAAAAATCAATAATTTTGACACATACAATGTATTTTTGGCTATTGCTACAAATATACCCCAGCTACTTAAGACTGGTTTTGTGCTCCAGGGCCACATATGTATTTAAATTAAATAATACATATAATTATTAAATAATAAACATTCATTTATATCATTATAACAAATAAAACATGATTAAATTTGGATATGTACAAATATAAAAATGTCTGAAATGACACAATATAGATAAAGATGGTATTTTTAAACGTAGTGAATGAGTATTTGTGAAACTGATACATCCAACATCCTTTTTTTTTTTTAAGTTAAATATTTATTTATTCTTGGTTGTCTCATTTGAATCTTATTTTTTGTGTTTTAATTTGATTTGAGTTTAACTGTGAACCTTAGATAAGCTATTACCCATAAATTAAATTCAAATGTTATGCAATAATATGTAAAACTAAGCTAAGTATATTAAGAACTATATCAGATATTAGTTTATTTTCAACTTAACAAATCAGCATATTAGAATGATTTCTGAAGGATCATGTGACACTGAAGACTGGAGTAATGATGCTGAAAATTCATTACATTAACACACAAATTGCAATAATAAACAATAAATATAAAAAAATGTTACTGTATTTTTGATCAAATAAATGCAGCCTAGGCGAACATACACACACACACACACACACACACACACTGTCACCACTGACCTGGGAAAATACTGTTGAGGATCTGAAGCTTATTGGAGTATTTCCTCCAGAGGCGGAGCACATAATCCTCCCAGCGAATCATCTTCCCTAGAATTAGCATAACTGGGATGGTTGGCAGACCAATCAACAAGAAGAGAGGATCGGCTCGTTCCATCACATCCAGACCTTCCTTATGACCCACAACCTGAGAGACAGATTCTTAAGAATCAAATAACGCTTGTAAAATCATTTCATCTGTGAGTGACGTCTCACCTGCATGACTGTCACAGCGCCGTATGTGACGGCCGTCCAGTAAATAGATCCCACCATGATACCAGCAGCAGCAAACGGACAGGCCTTCGAGATCAACCTGTCTGCCAGATCCAGCACATACACCACCGGCCCTGCACACAAAAACACACTGTACTTCAAACAATGTTTCGGCAGAATTAACTAAATAAACTTATGTTTACATACCAAACAATTATAGCATAATGCCATTGCCAATAATCTCAACTACGAATACACTAGCAATTTTCTTCAAAGATACAACTCATTTAAACATTGGTAATAATCAGAAATAGAGCAGCAGATCAGCATATTAGAATGATTTCTGAAGGCTCATGTGACAATGAAAACTATAAATATTGAGTCAATATCAAATCAATTTGAGCGTGATTTAAACCCGGATGATTGTAACCACTCTAAGTTCGTCTGCCTTGGGAAAGCTAGCGTGTCTCCGACATAGTGATAACACTCGTTGCCTTCTCTAGTGCAGCTCAACCAGGTCTCGTCCCATTCCTCGATATTTGCGATATCACAAATCCCGGAAAATATGCGTTGTTAGTCCTAACGAGTCGTTCGTTGTAGTTCTTGAAAAATGATTCCTGTTAAATATAATATCTCCATTTGAACTGGACTTTGAGCTTTGTAACTTCGCAGATCTTTTTTATGCTCAAACAGCAACATTACAGACTAACTAAAGTTGAAAAAG